TTTGGAGATATTTCCTTCCGGCTAATCTCTATTAAGTGGTTGTGCAGCACTTACAAGTATAACGGAAAGTGCAATGCTTTCCTGATACAACGAGTACCTGAGAGGCGAGCACAAAACAACTGGTCACTTTACTCTTCATTCAAGCATCAAAAATAGCCTATTCTCTTCTTTCTCCTTGTAAACATGGCTTGGATTTGACGAGCACGCACCAACAATTATAGAGACAAATACTGATTATGCTTCCTTTTTAAAACCTGAACAATTGATTTTTCGTTTACAACATGATTAGCAGTATATCTCAGGGTAGAAAACATGAAACTCTATTAATCTGGCAGATGACTTTCGCTCGCTGAATCTTTAACTGGTGAAGTATTAAAACCAGTGAAAAAATGAAATGCAAAAAAAAAAGTGTGATATCTGAGCTTAAGAGGTAGCCTTTGAACCTCGCCAAATTCCTTATCAGATAATTTTTGGCGAGGGTTGTTTTAACCCTACCGATTGGTTGTACATCTCCCATTACACCTTTAAAAGGCAATCAAAAGAGTCTTTATGGATAACGTTGAGCAGGTGATCTGGATTCCGTGACTGACTGAATCACTATCCACGAAAGCGACTAAATATGTCCAATTTTTGAAACACTCACCTTTTTAGCATCGCACAGAATCTGAAAATAGCCTCAGGTGTTGGATAAGGCCGCATAACAAGGTGATAAGAGAGGAAAAGAACTAGCGTTCGCCTTCATTTAATTAGGATTTTCAATGTCAATTTAGGAGAGAAAAATCCAAATGAGATTTCCATCGCAGACTGAAAAAATAATCGAGGGCACATTTTTGCAATCTTCCGATTTTTGGTTAGCCTGAAGGCTTTAAGTTTCTGTTCTTTTACGTAGGCATTCGGATTTCACGAGTTTAGATTTCTGTGCGCTTTTCTGTTGCTTCTTTGGTGCTTTGAAGAAGGTAGCATGTTCGAGTGAGCGAATGGTACATTTTCGTTTCATCTATTGCAATAAATTGCTCATTCCATGTAAAACCACGTGGATGTTTTCAATGAATGGCATGTTGATACTGATATTTGTACACTTGACTGCCGCTATTCTCAAAGAACTTTTTCAAGTTCCTCTCGTACTTCAATTAACCTGTAAGTAATACTAACTTCGTTGTCAATGCAAACTCAGGTTGGACCGGTTTGCAAGAGTTTAAGTTCACATAAGTGCATTTTTCAGTTGGTCTAACTGTACTCTCGATAGGAGATAGTCAAAAAGAGGTTATGGAAAACCTTTCCAGTTATGGGCATGTGGTTATGAACATAAACTATGGAATCTAAAGAACCGATATACTAGAGACAAAAAAGCTTCATCCGCCATCTTGGAAAAAAAGTGGACTGCGCCTGCGCATCTTATCAGCCTTTCTTGGCCGTTCCCGTGTAACATCACACTTGCAATTGTGACTTGATTTGCCATTGCGACTTAGTGTAATTAAATTTCTGGATTGTTACAAATACTAGCCCTCGGTAATTCCTCGATTACAAGGCGTTCTATTAAAACTAACTTTATTCGCGGACAACCGGATCTCTGTAGCAAGTATTCTGTTTTGTTTTTTCCTTCCCCACATAACCACTTTTTCGGTCTCTGTCAAAAGCACTCACTGTAACCCCTGCAATGGTCTTGATGAAACGAATTTCGAAGAATTATATATCTTTTGTAACTTTTCCAGATTAAGGTGAAATTTGTAAGCTTTATATCTTTTATTCGTGGTAATAGCTCCCTTGGTTTTGTGTCAATATCAAGATTTTTTTCAAGTAAGGTTTTCAACCTTTTCATATCAAATGCGATTAAGCACTCTCCTACTTCCTTTGAGTATGCAAGTTTGGAAATCACGGCATGAGATTAATTTGAGTCATGATGTCAACTCAGTGGCAGTCCTTTATCCGATTGCGCCTGCGCTCTGGCGTCTTGAACCTTTCTATCGCCTATATTTAGCTTGTGGATAAAAACTAATGTTCCCAATCTACCATATTGCTTCTTGACAGAATATAGGGCTACACGGGAAAGAATCAGGTCGAACCGTTAATTACTTGAGACTCCGTTGCGAACGACAGAGGTAAACATGCAAAAGGATATGGATAGATTTAAACTTGGGGTCATTGTCTAGAGCACTGCCTTGGGTAATTTAATGAAAAAAAAAAAAAAACTTCGTCATGATCAAAAAGTAGCTTTTCTATCGCTCAACGTTATGCAAATTTTACGCTTGTTTTCCTTTTCCATGGCTGAAACGAACTTAACGCTGATCAAAGGAGTTCCTGAGCTCCATCAAGTCGCAAGAAAGGCGTGACTGATTCAAGTAACCTAAGGATTAATTATTTTGCTATTGAACGATAGGTAAGTTACACGTTTCCTGGTGTAATAAAGAAGATTGATTTAAAGACGCCATTCATGACAACTTACTTGACCTTCTTGATATTTCCATATTGTTTTTTTGTATGTGTTTTTTCTCAGAATTACTTGATTTAAAAATACACCTCCTTTTAGAAGAATAATACACCGATATAAAAGCGATGGGCTGCATTATGTTTTCTTCAATGTGCAGTTTAACCAAACAAGTTGTTTTTCCGACACAGATAAAGTTAAAAGAGTAATACAAAAACAAAAAGGAAATATTTATCATGGTACCACTTTCCTCAAGGTATATGAGTCAGCCGCACGCATCGAATTTCATTGAATTTAAGTCTTGATTGTTTGCGTGCTCAATGTTACATTAGAGGGCATAAAAAGTCAAATCGTCTTTAAGAGGAGAAGTGTTCTATAATTCGTATTATTCAAAGTCAACAAAGTTTTAGCCCCAACCGAGCGTTAATTTCAAAAATTTTATAACACCACAGTGCAGCGTCGACGCTATCACGATTTTCTGTTAAACAAAGAATTTTTAGGCGTAAGACACGGTTGGCCAGAGGTCAATAGCAAACATTAAAGATTCCCGTTGCAAGCTCTAGGATCCTCGACTTCAAAAGAGTTCTCGTCTTATAAACTGAGGGTGTTCTAGCTCTTGTATATGGCTTCCTTCTTTTCAAACTAGACACGGACCGATCCATATTGGCAAATTGCTCCTCCAAGAATGACTATCTAAAATCATAGGTTACAGGTGGTTTTTAGGTTAAAACACTCTAGAGACGTCGGAGGGGTAGCTTTCTAACAAGATTTACCTACAAATTCCTTCACCTCAAAATGAAAAAACATTTTCCAGGTAACTTAAAGCATATGTCCCACGAACAACGACAACCTGAATTCTTCTCGGTTACGAAAACGATTATTTTCAGTTGAACTTTGTTTACTTAGCATCAAATAACAACACAACTATACCTTGGAAGCCTTTTGAGAGGTTCGTTCCACAAATCTTTCAAGCAAGCGGCGTGCAAGACAAGACTTAAAGAGTGTCAGTGTTTTGACAAGGAAATGTCGGCGTTGCTACCGGTCGCCATCGTCAGAAATTCAGTAGACAGGTTTAGGACAGAATTTTCTCTAAAGCAAACAAAAAAGAATGCAAAAAGATCATGGTCTCGCTGTTTGATTTTAAAGCTAACAGAAAGTTTCTGCAAGAACCAACTGCGAAGAAGAAACTCTGCTTACCAGCGATTCCAAAATCCGCACTTCAAGAACGTTTAGTTCTTGCCAGTATGCCAACGTTTACTGACCAAAGGACACGAATTTCGAAAGCTACAATTTGGAGGAAAATCTAAGACTTCTGGCCAAGTGATAAATAATCACGTGCCACAGCAATGGAAGTTGGCAGAAACTTGATCTGTGTTTACCCACGCTTGTGAGCCGGAATGGACATAATACTTTCGGGGCTGTTCGGAAAAAGCGATTTGCAACATGTCAGGAAAGCCTGTCTTTCTGATTTCAATTTTTTATCCGCACGTTTACCCCTTGAATAGTATCCTTATATTTCTTTAATAAAACCTAAATGTTGTATTTAAAACCTTTTTTCTATCAAAATAACTTTCAGATGGTTTTGCAATATGCAAAAATATACGCGAAAGGATTTCCAAAATGCCTAAACCAGATGGTGGATATTCGAGTTAAAGAGACTGGAATGAAAATCTGTTATTCATCCTCTTTAATTCCAAGTTAATCGTTTTTCCATCACTCCTGCAGACGCAGCGATCAATTAAGAAATTACCAAAATTGTGGTTTAACTGTTTGTTTTGAATAAAAATCTCGACTGAAATCTTCAAAATTCCCGCTGAGATTTGCTTACTATGGATTATCTTAAAGTGATCAACCGGAAGCACTAGTTCCTTGTACCAGACAACGGAAAACGTTGCCAAAATATTTTACAATGACCTGAGGGTAAATCGTTTAAAGACTTCCTTATTAAAACCATAAATCCTTTATTTTCGTTTGTGTTGTGTTGTATTGTTCTCGTTTTTAGTAACTAAAACACCGAGTGTTTAAACGCGGCAAGGGAGTGGTATCCCTATCAATGACTATAAATTTAAGAAAAACCATATATGTGACCTGCGGTTCATGAAATGAAAGTGAAAGCGATCTTCGCAGTCACGAACACTACTTAAGCAGTAGTGAAAATAGGGCCCGAAATAAAATTTAAGACCTGTACAGCCCGTATCGTATAAAATTGCCCACTCCAAATAAATACCGTAATCAAAGGTTCCACTTTTTGAAAAACGATCTTCAATTCTGAGGAAGAAACGGTCAAGAAAATGTCTCAAACTCAGAAAATCAATCACTCAATAAATTAATTAGTAAAATGAAGTCAATTAGACAATCAGCTCATTCATCCCTCCGTATGTCCGTCCGGCCGTTCGCACAACCATCCATCCATCCATTTATCCATCCACAACCCCCTCAATCATCACTATTACGATTTCGTCCGTCAACAATCAATAAAATGTGATAAATTTTGATTGTGTGACTATAAGTAACTCTCTTTGATTTAAATGAACCAGTTTATCCCAAGACTGATAATCATTTCGTCTTCTTCAGCTCATTACTTGTCCCAATCAGATTTCGATAAACTTGACTGGCCAGTGTTAGTGCACTCTAACACCAGCTGTGTCTGGCTAGCGTTACATATATTCAACAACTGAAGTGGTGTTACCGCTTCACTATAGCGTTTGGTTTTCCCGCTTTTTCACTTGTAGTATTTCTTTGCTGCCGCAGCCGCAAGTGTTCTACCACTGACACAACTCTAACACAATAATAACTGTCTGACTCTAATATTTTTTTATGTGATAAAATTCATAAATATACGTATTTTGCATTAGTTTGATCTTAATCTGGAAGAAAATAATGTTTTTGTGTTATTTTTCGGGAAAAAAAAAGGAAAACTGCCCTTTTGCACAGTTAATCTAAAAATATTTTGTTAGATGGTCAATTGTTTCATTCAGGTATGCCGGTAAGCTCACAGCTCGCTTTCCAAAGTCTCCTCTGAACATCTTCACTGTATGACTCATCTGAAGATTGTGTTGATTGACAGTTGACGAAATATTTACCTCCCTTGCTTTCTAATTCTGGAGATAACGCAACGTAAATACTGTTTTCTGCCCCTTGCTGAGGAGTCTGGAAGAAATGGTAACTACAGCTTGGTAAACCTGCAAGTTATTGTCTTAACTATTGTCTTGTACTATGTCTTAACCATGCTTGAGTCTGTGTGTTTTGAAACTGAGTAGGCAGCACAGACCTGCGATCAGATCGGCAATATTAAGATCTGGTGACCCTAAGTAGGCCTCTGAGGGAGAGATTTTTTCAATATTCTAACGAAATCTTACCTTAAAAAGAAAATAAGCTAATACATTCTGAGGCATTCTCATGATCCATGGAATATGCTGGAACAAATCAGTATTGACTACTCCTGGATGCACTGCATTAGCTGTTACAGGGCTTTCTCTCTCTTCCAAGCGTTTTTGAAGTTCATAAGTGAATAGAATATTTGCTAACTTGCTTTGACTATACCCTGAATAGGGTGAGTAATAATATCTGTGGGGGAAAAACAGAAAGTAATGTTAGTAATTTACCATCTGATTTTGAGCCCCTAACCCCTGCCTAGCCCTACTACAGCTTCATGCACATACTTTGTGCTCCTTTTTCCCCCCTGCCTCCCCTCCCCTCCCCCTAAATTCTTCCCCATCTCTCATAAACCTCCATATATTTAATAGGGAACTGAGATTTGCTGTTTACTTTGTTCACAAACAAAGGATGGTTTCTTTTCCTGACTAGTGCAAAAGGCAGTCTACTGTATTACCAAGCCTCCTGAATTTCACTTTAAATCAGTGGGGCAATGTATCTGAATACAGGTGACAACATGACATACAGGTACATACTTGCTCTGGAGATCTTCAAAGTTTATTTTTCCTGGAATGTGTGCCTCAGATGACAATGTGACAACTCTTGAGCATCTATCTGGTGAACCAGACCTGATGAAAAATGTGATATACAGTGTGGATGGGTTACTAGAGATTTCAAATGGTTCCTTCAAAAAATAGTAGTGCCAACTAAATTTAAAAATGGCAAAATGATGTTGCAGCTTCTAAATTATACATAGAAAATACTCTAGCATGCTCCATCAATATTAATTAAGGAAACCAAGATCAACATGCAGTTCCTAATGTGACCATAAGACTTTTTAACCTTTTCAATCCCAGGGCCTGATTGTTAATTCTCCCCTCTGGCTGCTGCAGAATTCCATGTAAATTAGTTGTGAGAATTTGGTGTTAGATCAAGACAACAACCTCTACCTGATAAGTTTGATTATTCTCATGACCTGTTTGCAGGACAATACATGGATATCAGAGGGAAAAGTTACATGTTTATCAATTCTGGGATTTAAAAGGTTAAAGGCCTTTTTGGCTTCTTTAATTAGCCCCTTATATAATTATTTCCTCAAATGCGTCAGCAAAACTGTTGGCGAGTTATCCTCAGCAAAACTTCACTCCTGGTTAAAATTTCATACCATTGCCTTGGCAAGTAGATATTAAGAATCAATTAACAAATAGATTCCATAAATTATTGCTGTGCATCTGTTCTGTAGTAGATCACAGATGACTTCAAAATATAGTGAGAACAGAAAAATGGCTCTTGAGGTGCAGCTGAGTGTGTCACTGATGTTCTTCCCACATTTTGACATCTTCTGTTATCTATTATTGTAAAGCACTGCGTCAAAATGGAATCTATTTGTTTTAATTATCTCTTAACCTTTTAGACGCTAACATCAGTATCAATATTCTCCACACTGTTCTTTATAGCTTTACCAAGGTGGTGTTGACAAGGTGAATTTGTTTGCCAATCAGAAGGTTCCTTCCCTGGTGATCATTTTTTTTATTCTTATGACGTTAATGTGTGATTCAGGGGTGATATTGTTGGGAGAAATTAGCTGCTAATCACTCCTAGGGTTTAAAGGGTTAAAAAAGCCAAATGTTGTTAATTGTGAAGAACATCGTCCATGCAACTGAACTACAATAGATCATACACAAGAACCAATCAAATTGTGCGTAGTATTCAGTGCATCATATATTTGAGAAGAGCTGACAGTTAAATGGCTCATTTGGGTCAATCATTTGCTTAGACACTCACTTGATCAAGTCATCTAAGAGCAGATTGGTCAGAGCAAAGTGTCCAAGATGGTTCACCCCAAATTGAAGCTCAAATCCATCTTCAGTTGTGCTGTAAGGTGGGATCATTAGTCCTGCATTGTTCACAAGGATGTGAAGAGGAAGGCCTTTTTTCTTGAAGTTCATTACAAACTTCTGTACTGAAGCAAGGCTTGCCAGATCAAGTTCCATGTATTCCACTGATTTGCATGAAGAGATGAATAATAAAAAAAGATGCTGATCAAATTTACTATACTGGGTGCTATTTACACAATGAAGTTCAACATCAGAATGCTAAGTAATCATTATATACATGTCTATTAATAAGGATTCAAATCATCCCTAGTGGGTGACAGATATTCAGATCCATGCATTTGGGAAGGAGGAATATGGAAACTGATTGAAATACAAATTTTACATTTTATGTGGTTTTAAGAATATAATTTCGATATTTCAAGTTTTCAACAAATGATCAGAATGATTTCCCATTCAGGAGATAGTGAACTATCATGAACTAAAATGAGTCTTAATTTATTAAGAAAAAATAACATTAGCTAAGTAGATGAATGTGCGGGGGGAGAGATGTAGAATAACTTTTGCTCCACATTTTTCCAGCCATTTTACAACTCTTACGATCTATTGTTTTATTTTATTTTCAAGTTTCTCCTGATTAAGAGGTGGATGTGTAATTTTCACCCCATTAAAATAATTTACAATCTTCATGTACTTTGATTTTCATGACATTGTTGTTTCTCAAGTTATGTTGCACTCAAAATTGCAACTTGTAACATCAAGGCCTTCCAAAATAAATATGCCTGTTAGACAAAGTGGATCTTCTAATTTCTTGCAATAGTTAGGGTTAATTATGCTGCAACCAGAGCTCTGCACTCAGAGTTTACCTTCAGCTTGAGGCAACTCCTCCCTTAGTTTTTCGATTGCTTTCTCTGCTTCTGCTGTATCTCTACAAGCTTAAGAAAAATTAACATGTTCAAAACAGAATTATACAAATACAGGATTATACTTCATTTTTACATGAGTTTACCAGGCGGCATATTTTCAGTAGCCCTTTGAAATGAAGGAAAGTTAAACTTTACCCTCCTAACTAGTAAACAGCTCTTGTTTAAAGTTAATTTGAAAATTAATGCTTATTTGTTTTCATGCAACAAACAGTACCATTATACCCTCTAGACATTTTTTTAAAAATCTTTATTACTTCCATGAGTGACCACGACAGAATTTCTCCTCATATTTTCAATACAAAATCAATCAGACAAGTGATGTGAATAAAGAAAGTATCAATTAGGGGATTGTTAGTTGATCCACTGCAAAACTCTCTGAAACATCATGAAAAGAATTGTACGGCAGACAGTGAGGAGTGTTACCAATGAGATCTTGGGAGTGAAAGGGTAATAAACTATAAGTTCATAATACAAAACAATTACAGCATGAACACATTCAATTACGTTAAATGCTTCAAAACTACTGGATAAAGCCAAAAAGGTCATTACCAATTATAACTGTCATCTGTGCCTTGCAAAGCCCTCTGACTGTTTCAAGACCAATGCCCTTGTTCCCTCCAGTTACTATAGCAACCCTTCCATCCAAATTAGGAATCACTGTTTACAAGAAAATCTTATTAAATGAAACATAAATTAAGAAACATGCAAGCTTTGGAAAAGGGAAAGGGTAGGTGAGGGCCTAGGTTTATAGATGTAATGGCAATGAAAAAACCTCAATGTCTTAGCTTAAAAATCTTAAGACTCATTGTCTGGCAAAACAATCTCAGGAGGGCTAGTCAGAAATTTTCCATAGCACAAAATTTTGCAAAATCACAAATAAGCAGAAGTAATTTCAGTGGTATAACTAAAAAAAGGTTAAAATTTGATGTGAATGTTCATAGATATGTCCTCTTGTTAGAACTGGCCTTGCCCTCTTGACAGGTAGCAGATCAGATACTACACTGAAACACATGCAATGAATGTGCACACACCTGATGACGATGATAAGCCAACTATGCAATATGTAGTAAGTCACGTGATTGTATATTATGTAAGAAGTGTTATTATTATAATAGTAAATACTGTGTGAAATACAAATGAAACATAAAGACTAAAAGGTAAAATTTCTGCACAGCCCCATCCTACATTATGCATTCAGTTCTTGAACAGAGAAAACAATGACAAAAACAGTACATTTCCATTGGGAAAACAGATTTGTTTTACAATAGTATGGAGCTTTAACTTTACCGAAGAAAAATAAGGGAAGACAAGGTGGTGATAATATTGAGGATGATAACGATGTAAATATCAAAGCAGATGGTGAATGAATTTAAAGAACACCATGTGCATGTATAATGGTTGATATCTCGAATGATATGATATTTACACGTAGCCTTTTCTCCGCTTTTTTTGTTGTTGTTTTATTTTAGTAACCTGAATCTTTTTAAAAATGTGTTTATCTTTGCATACAGTTAAGGCTGGAAAAAATTACAGTGTTTCAAGGACACCAATTTACCTTCAAGAGAATTGTGTTTGGAAAAAACTTGTTTCATGAGGACTTTGGCGCCATTCAAGTAGTTCATAAGCATCGCACTCGCCATAATTAAGATCAAGAAGTACGGACCGTAAATAATTAGATCCCAAACAACTGTATTCTGTGTGAGTAGCTGATATTATTGTTTTCTGAAGTTTGAATATTGCGTGACAAGAGAGATAAGGACTGTCTCACGACTGAGAGGGATTCTCGTTACCAGTCCCTCGAGAGAGAAAACAATTTTAGCGTTTTGATCGGATCGGTTTTGTCTGGTTCTCGTTCAGGAGACTTTAGGAATTATTAACCGGAACAATCCCTTCTTTCCGGAAACAAAATTGCTTCATGACAAGACAAGTCACCGTTTCGTTTTTTCTTAGAATGTCCACGGACTCTATGATCTTACGAAGTACATTTATTTCTTCATTCGCACGGCGCTCATTCAGAAAAAGAACATTACATCAACAGTATGCCTCTTATTGTTAAAGTTAATCCAGGGAACGTTTTAGGGAAATATCCTGACATTACATCGCCTGATGGTCTTATTTCTCCACCGCCGATAGAAACAGAATTGAAAGAGACTTCGCCGCTTCTGCGGGAAAAGATCAAGGCAAAACAACGTCAATTTAGGAAAGCTGTTTCGCGAAAGATACAGAGAAGACTTCGAAACATGAAGCGAACTCCAGTACTGATGCTAATTTTGATCGAGGTTTTTGAACGGTTTGCATACTATGGGATACTCATCAACTTCGTTTTGTTCCTGAACAAGTGTTGTGGTTGGACTATGTTTTTGTCAGTGGCAAGTGTAATGACATTTTCATCAATTTCGTGGTTCATGTGTGCTCTAACAGGAATAATGGGTGATTCGCGTTTTGGTCGCTACAATACCATCGTGAGTGGCTTCCTGGTTTATTTCTTTGGTGCTTTAACTCTTGTACTTGTGGCCTTTTTAATGGGATATTTTTACCTCGAGAATGGGCAACCTCGAGATAGAATAGACCAGCCTTGGATTTTAATGATTTTACTCGTGGCGTTATTGAGTATCTGTGCTGGAGAGGGAGCTGTAAAGGCGAATTTATCTGCTTTTGGGGCAGACCAGCTTAAGAGAGATGCACCAGTGCAGGAGAACAAGATGTTGTTTAATTGTTTTTATTGGATGTCCAATGTGATTTCGTTGCTGTGTCTGGCTGGTGTTACGTATATTCAACAAATGAAGTGGTGTTACGGCTTCACCATAGGGTTTGGTATTCCTGCTTTTTCACTGACAATAGCGTTTGCAATATTTCTTTGCTGTCGCAAGCATTTCACCATTGACAGGCCTCGCGGCACTGGGCTCAGGAATATGTGGCTTATTATGCGTCAAGCCTGGTCAAGGAGAAAAGCTGTTAAAGTGGAAGAGAGGTAGTCATCCTGGGCTTGTAAAATAAAGAATGATGTAGATTTTGAGTATGCTCACATGCTGACCACTAGTAACAGGGACCTCTCCCCCCTCTCCTCCCTCCTCCCCCCCCCCTCACACTTAGAATACAGGATTACACATCTTTTACACAAGTTTACAGGGGAGTTTGATGCCAGGTAGGTGATGCCAGCGGCGTCACAATCAATGGCTATGGGTTTGATAATCTCACTTTTCCACACCAAGCAACTTGAGATCTTGGCAATCTGGAAACCTACAGCTGTAAACAGAAAATCCTTTAACTCTGCCTTTGATATTCAAGGCCTGGCTGTCAACTTTCACACGCTGCTTAAAATTTTGATAACTGTCTTTACTGATATTTTCTCTGTCCTATTTTGTTCATCTGTCTGTTCTTGTTTTGTTCATTTGTTTTGTCCTGTTTTTCTTTAAGGGAGTTAATTCCAAGAAGTACTTGTACTTCAGAGAGTGATTTTTCTCCAAGTGGTGGAGACTGGCTCGACATGGCACTGGTGGCTTATGGTGGAACATTTATGGATTCTGAAGTGAATGAACTCAGGGCATTGAAGAAAGCTGTTGTGTTTTGTTTGCTCTTAATTCCATACTGGATGATTTATACTCAGGTAACTGAGAATGAGGTTTTAAGACATGTTTCAAATTCTACAGCTAAACATCTTCTGGTGACGTAGAGCTGCAAAGACTTCTGTTAGTTTGATGTTCATGTACGCTGTAGATGAGAGTTTGTATTGATATTATTATATTACAATCAAAGAAAAATTTTTAATTGACATAAAAAAATTCAAGGTGTGTAATCCAACACTACTCTAACAGTTCATCATTTTTTGCAATGGAAGGCCATCAAAGTGATTCTAGAATGAGAAAGGTGACTGATTTTTGTTTACAATCAATTTCGGGATCAGTTGGTCAATTACTCAATAAGCCTATTAACAAACATAGAAATCATAAAGGAAGAAAGAAAGACAAAAATACACAAAGTCAACAAGTATTCAAACTAACATTTGGTTGGTGGTTTGGTTTGCCAGTAGGTCAGTCATTTGATAAATCAGTTAGTCAGTTGGTCCATCAGTCAGTTGGTCAGTTGGTTAGTAAGTCATTCAGTCAGTCAGTCAGTGAGTTGGTCAGCCAGTCAGTTGGTCAGTCAGTCAATCAGTTGGTCAGTCAGTCAGTCAGTTGGTCAGTCAGTCAATCAATCAGTCAGTCATTCTGTCAACCAATCAAGCAACCAATTAGTTAGTCAAACAGTTAGTTGGCCAGTTAGGGCCTTTCTACACGAGCAGACAAAGCTAGAATTTTCCAGACAAAATCAAAGAGCCAATTTTGTCCTGACATGTTTTTGTATCTGGCAGGCATTAAAAATTTAAAAGCTGTCAAATTCCATCAGCACCTGATCTGTTCATAAGACAGGCCAGCATAGTTTGCCAAAGTATTCCACCTCCAATTTACAGGATTTATCCTAAGTTGTTTTAAATTATTTTAGAATTCCTGAATTTTGCAATTTATTTCAGTTCAATTACATGCTAGCAGTGTGTTTGAAGATTTGTCGGCTTTGGCAAAAGTTTTTTAATGTGACAAACCATTTGCAGTTGTAAAATGTTAGTGATAACAGAAAATATGTCTGAAGAAACAACAGTACTTTTTCGCTTGCATGGAAAGACCCTTAGTCAGTCAATTAGTCATTCACTCAGTTATAGTCAGTTTTTCTCAGTCATTTAGTCTTTCAGCTGGTCAGTTGGTCAGTCAGTCAGTTAGTCAATTGATCAGACAGTCAGCCAGTCTGCAGTCAATGAGCCAGTCCAATCAATCAATTGAAGTCCTCATTTTACATCTGTGAGTCTGTGTACATTGCAAAAGACAAAAGGAGGGACAAATGGAAATTTTTAAAACCCACAATGTTGTTTTTGACATTCATATTTTCAACTGAAACTGAATTTCAATTTATTTAATTAGCTTTACAGCACATTTATCCTGCAAGGTCTTCACCTCAAGGCTGAATATGGAGGGTTTATTATCCCTGCTGCATGGCCATGTCTCTGTGAGATTTTTATTCTTCTGATCCTTGTTCCGATGCTGGAGAGAGCTATATATCCCGGCCTGAATGGGTGTGGTATTAATGTCTCCATCCTTGGAAAGGTCATCTTAGGAATGTTCCTGGCTGCTGGTTCAGCTGGAATGGGTGAGTACAAGTTTGGGGCAGATTCAAAGGTGGTTCAGGTGTTTTGGTCGAACTCCCTACACTGAATTTGAAAAACATCTAAACACATGCAATTATTGGGAATTCTTTCTACAATTATATAGTTATCCCTGAAAAAAATGAGAAATCATTTTTTTAAGATCTCAATTTCAACATTCTTGGCAGGGGCATCACCCCTCACCCTTCCATGGATTGCCCTCTTTTTGGTAGACATTTATCCAAACGCTCCTTTACTACAGTAAATCCCAGATTTACCCATGGTAAAAATGCACAAATTTCATGTAATTTGTACCTGCAAAACTTTTACTACATCTTCCTCATGTATCACAATCAGTAAGGGCTGATTTTAAAGAAAAATAATTATACCAAATGCTTTCAAATGCCAATATACATATTTGTACCTGTCAAAGATTGAAAATCAGTAATGAAACAGTCATGTACAGTGTACATATAGTCTGCTTCAAAAGGGTGGTGCTGGTGGCTGCTAAAATCTTACACATTCGACACTCCTTTGACCTTTCTTTTTTCACTCTACAGCTGGTTATGTTGAAAAAGAAATGACAAACAGTTTTTTTGATGCTGGTTCTGTCAATCATACTGCCAGTGGGGAAAAATACCCTGTGGTGAGAGACTATTCTATTTGGTGGCAAATTCCACAGTACACCCTGATGGGTATGAGTGAAGTCTTCACAAGTATTCCAGGTAAGGCAGTGTACTGTCTTGTCATGTTATACATGTACCAGACACTGTTTAGGTTTGTTGAATTGAATTTAAACAAGGAATCTAAAGTATAGACAAAGGAATTTTAGGGTATGAATTAGATTACATGGTAGTGTTTATGTTGCATCATATGTATTTATAGCTTGTAAGTTATGTCCATATTGTATTGTAAGTAATTAAAGTGTGTTGCAAAATAAAATTAAACAAATAATAATTATAATGAATAACAAAACCAAATAAAAAAATGTATTTAGTTAAATTTAGACAGCTATGAACAAGGCAGTGTCATCATGATTATCTACACTTTTATATATGTTTTATCTTCTTATTAATGATACAGTAACTTTATGACTGAAGAAGCTGATGAAGCCTAAGACAGTATCTTTCAAAGTGTGTTGGCTTTCATCTTTTATACCCAATTCACAGCCCTGCAGGGAAGCATTTCCTGCCTTTCACCTGGTTTTTTCCTGTTTTGATAAGCCTTCCTCCCAAACCTCACATTTCCATAAAAACTTGCAGCATCCACATAATCATTGCATTTTGAATTTTTTTTGTGTGCTTTCTTTACTTGGAAAATGATGTAAAAGGAAATAAAAGATAATGCAGTTAACCAATGTATGTAAAAAGGCAAATACTGGAGGGTTTTCACACTCATTTTAAAACCATTTAGAAGATCCTTGTAGTTAGCCTTAATGTTTCCTGTTTTGTATGGGTTCTTTTTTTGAATTGCCATTGTTCTGGAGTGACTAGCCTCATCTTCACGAGGAAATACAAAAGGATTATCGCATCCATGAGAGGCTAGGTAGTCTAGAACAATGGCAATTCAAATTGGATGCCATAAATTATTTTGCTTCGGTTAATATGAATTTGATTTATGTACATTACCCTAGATTCATGGCATATCACTTCTATGTTTAGATATTTTAATTTGTAGCAAGTTCAACTTGTTTTACTGATCATTTTAGTATAACTTACTCGTATTTACTATCTGATTTTAACTCTAGGACTTCAGATGGTGTTCATCATGTGCCCGGACACACCACAAAGTGTGACATCTGCAGTATTTAATATCATGATAAGTATTGGAAGTCTACTGAGTCTTGGCATTTTAGCGCTTACCGCTTATCTTTGGGGGTGGTACCCCAGAGCCAGGGAAGGGGCACTCAGGTACTATTTGGGTAACGACAAAGTTGCCTACTATTACTGGCTGTTAGCAGTAGTGACGGTCGCAACAGCACTTTTGACTTCTATTGTAGGATATACTTGTGATATTGGACCTGACAAAAATGGAATTAAACACCAAGTGCTGGTCAATGAAGAGACTTCGACACAAGGTCAGCTTTCAAATGCCGGGGTTGATTCAAAAAATAACACATTCGTGGAGCTCAGCTCGTGACAAACTGTGTTCCCTGTTTAAAGTATTTATTCTAAATTGGAAATGCGTTTGGATGTGAAGTTGTTGTAATGTTTCAGATTGGCAAGCTTGTATACGTAAAGTATTGTACGCTGCAAATTAGTTTCCGAACATCAATAAACGAAAGATACAGTACAATATATGTTGTTCGAATAAGCTAAGGTGGACCTTTATTGCTCATTTCAAGCGGATGGAAATGAGCCATGCATTGTGATGTTAATGCTTCAGTTTACAGTTCTTAAATCAAGTACTTGTTTCATTTCTAAAATACACGGGAAATCGCTTTTCACAATTTAAATTCTGCGTTAAGACAAATTTTCTTCGTCAAATCAAACTGGATACTATTCAGAAAAGGACCAACAAAACTCTACAAGGCAAACTAATAATTTTTGTGTTTAAAAATGTCCACAGTGCAGTGTTGTAACGAATCAGAAATTGATAATGAGAACGGTGCTTGGGTTTCCAGTATGGCTAACTGTGTTTAAACCTTCCTTAATTTCCGTCTCTGTTTGTTAATCAGTTTGTTGCGAGCGACAATCTACACTAGCTCGTGGCAAAACTGTGTTCACTGTTTAAAATATTTATTCTAAATTGGAAGTGCGCTTTTTTTTAATATATGGACATTGTGACTTTGGATTTTTTATTTAGAATTGATCTGTGCCACAGATATAGCCACTAAACATTGCTAACCATCAAGTATTTTAACAATTTATTAGGAGTAAAGAAACATCTTAGTAAAATAGATATCAATATTGATTACAAAATGACTTGACTCTGTGGCCGTAGCATTACAATAAAGATGATTATGATAATGATAATGACAGAGGAGGATCTGGACCTTGATCTAGGGGGGACGGGCAGTTTTTTGTCGCTTGCCCTAGTGGCTTTTCTTCCTTCTGCGATTCTTTTTTTTTGTAAACCCAAAATAAGGAGGGGGACCCGGTCCCCCCAGGGCCCCTCCCTTAGATCTACTATTGAATGATAATAACACTGACAACGGTAATGATAATGATAACGATAACGATAAAGATAGAAGTAATAGTGGCAGAAACTGTAATGATGATAATAATGATGAAGATAAAGATAATTAAAGTACAAATTTAACAAAACATTTGTGACCTTTTCTTCTGGTTTCTGGAATTCTCCAACCACTGGACACAGCATTCAAAGAAAGTCATCGATGTCCAGTGTCACTGAAATGATCAATGTCCTTTCACCAAGGCCAAATCTAGCTTCGATTAATTCTGTGCACATTAGGTACTTATCAGGGTTGTACCCCCCGTTAATTACTCTGGTCCCCCACGTCTGAACACCGTGATCATAACTAAGTAACCATATGACATTGTTTGAGGAAAGTTGTAATGACATGAGACCGTGGTGACAAGTTACCCAGGCTGGTAAACGCATGTGTAATTGAAAACTCGTTTTTCGCTGCTGTCAATAAAGCGGCGAACTTCACTGAAAAACAGGTGCAAAGTTGCAGAGTGTGTCATAAGATAAGAACATTTCAATCCATGTGCATTCTTTCCTTTTTAAAGTAATAAAATGTACTGTATATCACGATAACGATCGAAGGCGGCATAAAATTACGAGATCGCGTGGATTCTTTGTGTTCGCTTGTTTGGAAGGCCCAGTAATTCGAAAAAGAGCGTCAAAAGGTCATGAGGAAATTTTTTCGACCAAGAAATTTGAACGAATGGAATCAGTCTCGGTTTTTTAAGCGTTAATATATTATATTTGTTTTTGGACCAAGAATTTTGTAGGAATGAAATCGGTCTCAAATTTTTAATCGTCAATTCCTTGTATTATCATAATTATTATAAGTTTTATTAGTATCATATTATTGTTATTGTAATTATCATTTCTGAAAAATTTACCACTTCTCCCAGGCAAGAAGTTAAGCAAAACAGAAGCACCTGTACTTCGCAGAGCAATCAGTTGGGTCAAGCAAATGACACGTACACAATCATCTGTTTTTAGCTATAGAACCGGCTTAGTACTTACTAGGAATTTAAATACAGGGTAGCACACATATCAGGGAGATGTTTGACATCTATACAGATTCTATGCTGAAAGCGAGATTGTTACTTTAATGACAACCGAAAAGCGTTTTTTACTTTTTCCGGAATGCTATTTTTTTGGTTGGAATATTACATGTCTTCGACAGGATGCTCTTTGTCCTTTGGGCAGGGGTTAGCTAGTATTGGCTGCTGTCCAAGCTTCTCTGGAAAGGTGTGGTTGATTATCCTGCGGGGGATGTACCGTGCCAATTTGCATGAAGTCGAGAAACGCACGGCGAAGTGTTGCAATTCGCCAGCAGTAAATCAGGGGGTTAAGAAGCGAGCCTAGCAAAACAGAAGTGAAGGACCATGATGAAATAACGTACAATAAGTGAGGCTCCACCCAATCATTTGATATAGCTGCGTATATATTAAGCACAAGTGTGAGCATGTACGAGAACAATAGCCCTATTACAATGATTGTAAAGGTATAAGCTGCCTTGTTATTCTTCCGGAGTTGTTGGGTCTCCTCCGCGGACAACTGGTGGGTCTGCATACGGCGCTTTTGCCTTTGGGACTCCAGTAAGACTACCACACAAGTGTATACAATGACAGCAATGTAAACAAAAACGATAAAGGCTGTTAGCAGTTCGAAGATGGTTAGTAACGGCTGGTTCTCTGCTAACTCATTCGTAGAGGCCATCATTATCATCGTCATTGAAAACGATGCTGACACGACCCAGACCGTTAGAACACCAACTATCATTCTGTTCTCCGTGGCAATTTCTTCGTATCTGAGGGGCAGCTTTATGAAGACGTAGCGTTCAACGCTGATTAAGACGAGATGGCCAACCGACGCGAGGCAAAATCCATAAGAAGTCACCGAAACTACAGTGTCGAGCGCGCAAAACGGTGCGAAACCGTTCAAGTGCTTGATTTCTGACACCACGAACAAGGGTTGTACCAACATGCCAACCATTAAATCCGTTGCCCCCATACACGCAAGGAGAATGTTGTGGAGAGTTCTTAGCTGTTGTTTCGTCGCTATGACTGCGACGACCAATGCATTTGACAGGATGGCTGCAATGGCTGAGATAGAATTAATGCAGATGACAGCGATTAGGTTGTGGTGAACACCCCTTCTGAGGTACCCTGGCTGCCAGGCTGCGTAGCTAAGGTGATTGCAATCTTCTAATGATACGTTGCTCGCAGGTAAACTTGTCTCCGACATTTACACGAGATAGTTCTGTCTAATATTTAGTAACGTGAATGATCGAAGTGTAACTCAAAGCGTTGGATTTTCCAATCGTGTATGGGTTTTTAAAGATTTATCTTGCAAGAAAAGGAATATTCATGAATATTATCGTTTCCTGTTAATTGTTTAACACGTGTTCCATATACAGTCCAGACAGTGCTGATTGTGTTTAAAAATAAATTCGGTTTCACAGTTCTACAATGTTTCTTTTCTCCTGAATAAGATTTTCTGCAGAATTCGCTTAGATAGTTAAGTTGGCAAGTTCGAAGAATGACACATCATGAAAAAGCGATTTCTCTCAACAAGAAAGTTAATTTGCAGGAATTCCCAAATGATAATTATATTTTCGAGCATTTTAGTAGGGTGTAAGCAAATAACACCTACATTTTATGCCGCAAAATTGTGTGGGCTGCTTGTGTTTGCATAAGATTATTTCGCTGGGAAATATAGCACCAATTAAAAATGGTAGATATTGCATCCGGTATCAGTGGATCACTTACAGGAGATTTATTTCTATGATTGCCTAAGCTGGTTAATACTATCTCCTGGGAAGAAACAGCTGTGATTCAAAGTGACTAAGACGATACTGATGATAAATCAATAACAAGAATGAAAATAATAATAACAGAGATGATAATATTAACAACATTTCTAATAATAATAATTATGATTATAATTACAGTAATGATAATGATGATGATGATAATGATAGTTATGGTACAGCCCGTTGTATCTCATTTAAACACCTAAAATGTCGAACACGAGCTATCGTGTTCCTATGGCACTACTTTATCACCTCCCACTCCTTTTTCTCCTCCATCTTGAACCTCTCACTCATACCCTAAAATAAAAACCATTCTTTTCCATCTAAGGATCCATCTAAGTTTTCAATATACTGAATTGTTTACCGCTGTTCCCTTAATCAGAAGTAAAAGAGGAAATGAAAAACCTACTCCTCGGGTAGTTGCTGAAAATGAAATGGAAATCGTTACTAGCAGCGAACAGTGTTGGATTTCCTTGAGGCTCTAAGACAAACAAAAACTCACGTTCATAATGAATGTTGATAAGCTTATAGATTAGTTTCAAGCTAAGCATAATTTAGTCATCTCTTGAAGTTATCATCTTCTATAAAGTTCTTTTCGTTTAATAAAAAGTTCTTCGCCACTAGTGACTACTTTCCGAGCCTCATTTGCAGGGGTCGACTGATCACTCTGGTTGGATTGTAATTCCATATCTGGGCTGATTTATGTGCATCTTATGTGCAGAATCTCGCGAAATGCGCGGCGAAGCTTTTAGAACGCCAGCAGTAAAAGAGTGGGTGAAGGAGGGAACTCATCAAACCAGACGTGTAAGACCACGATGAGACTGTGTGCAACACATGAGGCTCCAACAGGGTATCGGAAAAAGGTGCTCCTACCAAAAGAATGGTTACGGGTAGGTAGGAGAAGAGAAGAACCGTTATAATGATTGCCAGGGTGTTCGCTGCCTTTTTGTTTTTCCTCAGTTGATGGCTTGTTTTTCGGGTAATGGCTCAGATCTTAGGCGGCGCCTTTGGTTTCGAACTTCTGAGTAGATGCTTATATAGCAGTATAGAATGATACCAGTGTAAATAAGGACGACAAAAGCTAGTAATATATCAGTAGCTAGCTGTCAATAGTTTTGCGGAGAGTTGTGACTCGGTGATCATAGATGCGTGGGCGGCCATTAAACTTGCTACGACTGCTGCAACAGCCCAGGCCGTCAACACACCAGCAGCTGTTTTGTCTTCAGTGACGATTTCTTCGTATCTTAGGGGAAACTTGATGAAAATGTAGCCTTCGATGCTTAGTACCACCAGCAATCCCTATTACTATGTCAAAAGTGCATAAAGGTCCGAGATCAAGAATGTGTTTAATTTCTGACGTTATGAACAAGGGTTGTGCGAGCGAACTGATCAATAAATCCGTCCCCGCCAAACACGCCATGAGAATGTTGTGGAGAGTTCTCAGCTCCTTCTTGGTCGCTACAGCTATGATAATCATTGAATTTAAAGGAACAGCTATAATGGCTGAGATTTAGTTGACACAAATGACAGCGACTAGATTTACGTAGGTTCTGTTCGTAAGGTATCTTGGCTGCCAAGCCGTGTAGTCAAGGAAATGGCAAGCTTTTGATGACAGGTTGCTCTCGGGTAGACTTGTGTTTGCCCTTTAATTTTCTGAAATGATTTTCCCTGTGATCGAACGATGTGAAGTTGTTGCATGTCTTGCTTTAGATTAACAAGCCTGCATACATATTTTGCCAAACATTTGCGACTCTGCAAAGTGAGTAATTGTGAAGCTTCGATTAATTTCCGCCCATTATTGAATGCCTAGGTTTAAAATTTTATCTTTCATTTATCTAAATTACATTTCCATGGACTGTTTGATGCCTTAAAAAAGCTGAATCTACTGTCAAATTTCCATAGTAGTTGATGAGGACGAGTAAGTTTTGGGGTGTTCTTTTTTTAAAATTTTATTTCGCTGTTTGGATTTTTCAATGGGAGTATTAAAAATAGGGTTTTTTTGCTCATTTGGGGCGGATAGAAATCAGTCCTACTTTGTAAAGTAGTTTAAAAAGGAAAGAGAAAATCAACCCTTGTCCTTTCCGTTATGATAAGGAACAAACATGGGCAAAATTATATAGACGATTATTTACAATTAATCCCAATAAGTGTTAATCGTGCAAACGTAGAAGATCGATGTGAAGTTGTTGTAATGTTTCAGATTGGCAAGCTTTTATACGTAAAGTATTGTACGCTGCAAATTAGTTTCCGAACATCAATGAACGAAAGATACAGTACAATATATGTTGTTCGAATAAGCTAAGGTGGACCTTTATTGCTCATTTCAAGCGGATGGATACAGTATACAGTTCTTAAATCAAGTAATTGTTTCATTTCTAAAATGCACGGGAAAACGCTTTTCATAATTTAAATTCTGCGTTAAGACAAACTTTTTTCGTCAAATCAAACTGGATACTTCTCAGAAAAGGACCAACAAAACTCCACAAGGCAAACTAGTAACAAGGCAAACTAATAATTTTCGTGTTTAAATGTTCACAGCTCAGTGTTGTAACGAACCAGAAATTGATAATGAGTACGGTGCTTGGGTTTCCAGTATGGCTAACTGTATTTAAACTTTCCTTAATTTCCTTCTCTGTTTGTTAATCAGTTTGTTGCGAGCGACAATCAACACAAGTTCAAACTTCTACCATTCTAGTTTATTGGCTCGGTTTTTCATTTTTTCTGCATTTGTTTCATTCCAAACTGGAGTTTTATCAAAGAAAGAAACGTTTGTTCATTGTAGACACTTATTTGCAATTTAAACAGGAAAACAGGATGTATGTGCTACTCCGGTAATGTTATAAAATAAATTTCGATCAAGCCACCATGGAAATTATGGTTATATTATATTTCAGTGAGGTGATGCTTTAATTCTGCACACCGCCAGCGTGAACAATTAAACACGTCTTCGGATTCAAGTACATCGTAAACAGGATATATTTGGGATGAGTTCTATCTGCTATTTTTTCTCTATCAGACGTAAACTGGACAAGTGAACGGTATCAAATAATAATAAAAAAGTAATAAATAAATTAAAAAACCAGAAAAAAAAAAAGGACCAACTAATATGCCCGCATGATAAATAATTCTTAGCTTATATATCAGCAACTGGTATCTAAGCTTCATTACCCGGTGAGAGGCTGGCTGGTTATTCGTAAGGAGCTGAGGAAATTCCATGTTCGGCCTGTCTTGTGTGTGGCCAATATGTCATTTCTCAAGGAATGGACGGGGAATTAAACTTTGTTACTCGCCAGTAATACTCTGTAATAAGTCTAGGCTTTTCAAAGCGCAATTTTGTACTCAGTGGGTTCAAGAAAGAGAGCTGAATTTTACAATAATGTGGGACCATGCTGATGGTGTGTACATCACGCGAGGATCCACCAAGTCATCTGAGATAGTTTTGTTTGCAAAAGTACGATTACGGGCAGGTACGAGAGCAACGCTCCTACACTAAATCATTGTAAATGGTCTGGACAAGATAGACTTTATGAATAGGAATGATGCAGTATATGAATAGGTTTGGTTCCCATTTTACATAAAGCTTGCTTATCAAGGCAGTCTCAAAAGTTATAAACTTAAAAAAAAATCTCTTCAGTTGGGTGGTTTTAATACTTGATAGTCTTAAGATATACACGGCAGTAGTACTGTGTCTTCCCCCGAATGTCACTTCTATGACATCCGAAGGGAGTTTCGACAGAAAAAAAGACTATCATTATTAGCAAGAAAAACTAAAATCCTCGAGATAACAACCTACTCCGAAATTTGATAAAGGGGGATGGCCAAAGGATTACACGGATAAGCAAGTAAAGGCATCAAACGAAAAAATGGCGGCTTCGCTGGGAGGAATGGTTCCTTTGCCCCAGAAGCGGTCACCAAGCGAATTGGTGACATCCGCTGACTTATTAGCGTACTGCCGCTGTAGGAACAAACGGTGGTTATGAGAGTTAATGATGGCTTACAAAGGAAACCAATGATCCTAAGGGACTGTTTACATGAAGGTGGGTGACCCCGGGTAGGTGAGGCAACCCGCCTAGCCATGGTCCAAAAGAAGCCCGCGTTTACATACAATTTTACAACCCCTCTATTTTGTGGTGAGGTTGTCGGCGCACTAGAAAATGAAACATGGAGGAGACCCCGGCTAGGCTGCTAACCTCACCTTGAAACGTTTAGACTGCAAATTGTGACCTCGTATGACAGGGTTAACCTTCCTAGGAACATCATCCCACCTATCCCGTAAACGTGATCAAGATAAATTAAGGGATTATATGGACAGGCGAGTTACCCCATCTGGAAGGGTTACCTCACCTAACTGGGGTCCCTTCCTGCATGCTAACAGGCCCTATAACACAAAAAGAAGGCAACCTTCGGGCCGAAACGTGGCCATGCATCTAGCATGGCCACGTCGAGACACGGCTTGGAAATCTAAAACCAAACGGCAGGCGTTTGTAGTATTCGCGTGCAATAACTGCTACCGTAACACATGATCACAGAAAAAACCCTTGAAATTATAAGTTTTGTTTGGTCACTTTAATGTGATGTAGTGATATATATCGCTCAATCTATATCCGTATATGAATCTATATCCGTATATGACAATTAAAATTACCATTAAAACCTTAAGTAAACATGAGTAACAAAAATAAAATTCAAGAAAAATAAAGCTACAGTAAAGGATATAATAATTTTTCAATTTCGTCATTCCGAATACTAACGCTTTGACTGCCCAAACCCTCTTTATATTTAAGAGGTTGAATGCTGCTGCTTGTAATTTGAAGATCACTCTCTTTTAGTACAATTACTGTATGTCCTAGTTGTATTCTGCACAATGTATCCATAAATTCGCCAGTGTCACTTTGATTTAAGTAATACCGTTTCTTAAACCGGGAGAATATTCGACTTACAGTTGTGAAACTTGGAATCAAAACGATTCAGAATTAAGGGGTAAGTCTCTAAAGAAACTGTGAAACAGGATTATTTCGTTTTATCAACTGGTTTGATAGTGTAATTTGGCCTCCGTAAAGAGTTTCAAAGTTGACGTTTCTCTCAAATCTCATAGTGGCGCGACTAAGCCTTCCAATCACATTTTCAAATATGGCATTTCCTCATTGTAATCACTATAATCTTGAGCAATTTGGCAGAAGAACTCTCTTGGTGATGAACTGTAAGCGCTGCCTTTGTCGTGTGTATAATAGTGAGACTAGTCGAAACGCAATAAGGAGAATTCAGCATCAGTTCTCCATAGAATCTGCGCGTAAATAAACGATACAAACAAGAAAATTAATCTGCTTAGCACTGGTGCCACTTAATTTAGGACGATTAAGAATATCTGCAAGTATTGTGCCCGTAAAATTCGAATCATTGCAGGTGGTGTTAATTAGGAGAATAGGTCACAATTAATGATGTTGGGACTTCCAATCACCTACCAAATGTAAAACACTTTAGATAAAGTTAATCCTTCCGAAATTCATGAAATATTCTTCTTGACGGCATAATGAGCTTTTTCAAGTTTGAACGAACTCTCCCACTTTTCTCATCATCTCCTGAAACTGCGTATCAGGAAACTCTTCATGTTCTACGCTCATCTTTATGTAAAGAAGCGTGGTAAAGATCAAAGCCAGTTGACCCTCAGGCGGCCAGGACATATTCTCGAACAGCAGAGGTATGATGGGCTTTTTCAAGTTACAAGCAAGAGTAGCCTCCCTTTGACAGGCGTCAGATTGGCAATACCTTTTCGTTACACAGCATACGAAGACCTGTCAATGAACGAATGCAAGAAGACTGCTCAAAAACCTAAGACGAATCACTTTGAGACAAAAAAAAAAAAGGAAACATTTGCAAGAAAGAAAGAATTGCATATTCGATCGGTTTAAAAAGGACGTAAGTCGTTCAAATATGAAGGTAAAGAAATTCCCTTATATCACGGCTGGGACTTATTAACGCTATTCTGATCCTACCGCTCACCTTGCACGCTCGAATACCAGCATCTATCTTGGCAAACAAAGCATCGCCTCCTCCCATCTGCCCAATGTCCATCCAACACTGAATCCCATTCTCCTCAATTCTATTCTTTAGTCCCTTCACCGTCTCTTGCAAATCCCACTGGTAAGACAGAAAAACTGGGCAACTCCACCTCAAATCATCTACGATTTTGCACGAGATAGGTGAAGCTTCTGTGCCTGTTCAGTTAAAAAAAAATGTCAATTTCTAAATCAAAAGGCAGTAGAGCGAAAGGGAATTATTGTAAATGCGGCGTAAGCTCCACAAACCATTAAGTTCTTTTTATCCCTGCATAAACGTACAAATACGATTACGTAACGGGCTGCCGATCGCGATTCTACGAGACACCCAAAGCCAAAACGTCTATTACAGACGCCGCCATTTTTAAATAAGGCTCAGCAGTCTGACAGCTTGCCAGTGACGTGACAGACTTCAGTTCTCAATGATTTTGACAGAAAGGCTGACAATCAAGTGGTGGTTGTTTGTGAACCATGGCGGAGATTTCTGAAGCATATTTCTCGATTAAGGCTTAAAAATCGGTAAATTATTTATCTGAAAGATTTGTTCGACTGATTTTATTTACCTGTGTAAACATCTCCAGGGACGTCGCAGTATTTGACAGCAAGCGCACCTCGACCCACTGCAGGGTGCTGCAAAGCTTTTGCCAGAGACTCGTACGTAGCTGAAGGGCCAAACACCTCAGTCCATTTTATGAGCACTCTGCAACATTTTTCATTCAGCTTGGGGTTGTCTTCCTCAATTTGCTCCAGCACTGCTTCAGGAAGAGAGAGCGTCCGACCCAGCATCTTCCACGATGAACCCAACTCGAAAGCAAGAAGGAGGAGGTCATCAGTTGAAGGTGTGCCCGTTTTGGAAGGGAAGGGTCGCTGGAGTGCTGTTTAAATCATCAAGGAAACGGCTATTACTTAGACTCCTCTGGAGTTAACATATGTCAGAATGAGCGATTGCTGTTCTTGTAGCTACTTTGTATTCACAACTTGATTTAGGATTGTGTTTTGCCCTTCTGACAACCATCAGTCGTCAATCAAAAGAACAAAATCAGTCAAAGTTGGATTGAGAATAACCACTAACAAATCAAAACTCGCTCTTTTTTACTGCTAAGAGTACGAGAACATGAACTGCGCTGTAATACGATTTCTTGTCATTTTTGAGCCTCTCTTAAAAGACTAAGATAGCATGGGTGTTTCTCACCTTCTGAGTTCAAAGAGGGCATTATCCGCTGCATCTGTTCTTCATTCTAAATAAAAAATAGCTAAATGACACGAGGCAATACTCGATGCTCCCTTAGAGTAGGAGAATCGTTGGAGTCAATGCTCTAGGTTTTTTTTAATACAATGCCAACGTATTTATTTCGACATTCATTCGCGAACCACAGGTTCTACAACGTAGGTCATTAACTTCATCTGCAAAGATGTGATTGGAAATTTAATGTATACAGCACCTACATTGCTCAATCATTTCTTTGGTCGAGTAAGAAAAAAAGCAAACAAATAAGTAAAAACCAAAGGAAAAACAAACAAATAAAACATCTCTACCTTTGTTTTACCAACCTGGAACCAGTTGTGTAGTCCATCAATTTGAAGAGCTTCATCGGTGAAACTTTTTGGACAAAACAGCTGTTCCTCTGGAATTACTCGGAGAAGATGGAGACAATCATCGTGAGCACAGCAGACTGATCCATGTTTAGCACATTCTCCTCCGTGAGTTAAGCAACTGGGACATGCAACACACAGTTCACACCTCAGGTTGCGTAGCCACGGCAACTCAAGGCTCAGCCCTTGCAAACTATCTTCAAGGAACACGCGAACCTCTTGAGCAGTGGTCATGAACGGGGTATTCAAAGCAGGATTCCTTTGTTTTAGTACGATCTTAATGAATCGTTTTCTGCAGATAAGAACGAGACTGTACATGTTGTTCCTACCAATGAAGAGTCGCGCACCATTGTGGAACAAATTTGGAGCTTGATTGGGTGCATGCTCTGAGGACCAGCGGATGAACCTCGCCAAAAGCTGAGGGAATAGCCCATGAGGTACAAAGCCATCAAGGAAATGAAGATACAAAGGGCACGGATCATCGCTAGATGTCTTTATTTCACACAGACCTGCTGGAGATGACCTTAACTGGGCTGGTACAAAGTATTTCTGCTCATCTTTGGATGCAACTGGGAAAAAAGAAAATTTAGCGATTAAGCCATACAGCTCCATCATATCCAAAATGTCCTCCTTGGAAAGCCCATTCTGGATTACATCAGCGAAAACGTGATCAACGAGGGTCATCCTTAGAATACCGCTTTCTTCAAGTTCCTTCCAGCATTCTGAATATAGAGGATCCTGAAAAAGTAAATCACAAAATAGATTATAAATTGGCAGATCTGTTATCTCCACATTACAGATGAGGCACGTTCCGAGCAAGAACAAAACCATTAATTACATCGTTCGTAATTCATAAGAAATCTTGCGCTTAAAACTTCCACAACCAAACAAACAGAAGTGAAAAACAAAAAAAACAAAAACAAAAAAACCGAGATAAAAAAAGAACAAGAAAAGATGAAAAAGAGAGATTTCAACAATGTCCCTGTTCATCATCTTGACCATTGGGGTAACACGTACTTAGAGGGGAACAACAACAAAAAAAAGCAAGTAAAAAGGAGGAACAACTTCTTGGAAACGAAGCATTCTTGAGATTTCCAGTGCCTGAGGAAGGTATGAGAACACTTTGCTCACCATTTCGTCAAAAGGCTTCACAGTTATCAATCTTTTGAAAAGGTCAATCAGCCACTGTGCCTGCAGTACAACGGTGCGGCCGTACTTCACGATCACTCCCAAGTCATGATAGAAATTCAACATGGCCATCATTTCCTCCTTATCATCTATTTCGCAAACTTTCTTCGTAACCGTGAGAAGCTGATCAAAATCCATGTGATAGGTTCCCTTTGCTACCAAAGCTTCGATGATTTTTTCGAAGTTGAACCACCTACGCGTAGGCAAAAATAAGGTTATGCACAAGGAAAGATGTTCACCTTTTTTGCTCTGTGAATTAGGAGTGAGTCAATCATATGAGAGCAGTCACATTAATCAACAATTACCTCAATGCGGCGATAAAACTTTTTATACGATCAATAACCTTTTTTTATTGAAATAATTCCTATTTTCATAGATATTCATCAATTGCATTATGAACTCAAGATTTCTATCGTCCGATAGTTGACGAAGGCGAAGCTCAAAAAAACTATTAAGCACAAATATGGAGAGCAAACAAACAGATTATTTTATTGTAAATCTACAGGTCGTTCAAAATTAAACAGGAAAGGGTCACGTTTCGAGCTTTTTTCGGTGAAACCTTTATACTTTTAGGCTAATCATCGTACTCTCTGTCTATCATGTATTATATAGTAAGCTCAGTTATGCACGCATTCTGTTTGGTTCTCACTCATGATCTATTGGAGGACAGACGTATAAATGACTTCATTAAAACTTTTTTCAAATTCTGTATTATATAAAACAAATAGATTCCAAGTTGCCGTGCGTCTGTTCAGTAATAGAGCACAGAGGACGTCAAAATATGGTAAGAACATCAGTGATACACTCAGCTGCGCCTCGTGTGCCACGGCAACTTGGAATCTATTTGTTAAATAGATGGCAAGAAACATAACCAATCAGACTACAGCATTTGCGAGAGAGCATCTGCAGATTTATTCTAGGCGCTGTTTCACGAACTGAGATTGTTTCAAGTATCATACCTAATTGGAATCTCCTCACCCATGTAGGGTTCTTGTCTGAAAACCTCCATGATCCTTCGCTGCAGTGCTTGAACACCATCATCGCCCATCGATCGTGTGTTATCAACAGCAAACAATGGCCTGATCACGTGCTTTTCATAAACCTTCCCTGAAATATTTCTTTGAATACACTTTTCCATTTTCTTGACATCTTCGAACGGTTTGTCAGCGTTTGTACCCACGATGAACACTGGAGGGCGTAGGTAAGATCTTTTGTCTTGCTGGTTATTTCCTGGCTCGTCAGCTGCTGGGCGAATACTGTGAATAGAAGCCAGCCACGACAGCAAACTCTCCAAATTTGTCTCACTGTTTTGTTTCTCCAGTACAATATCGTGAATACCCTGTTTGACTCGAGGTTCAGCTGGAGCATTGAGATCTTTAGTCAGGTTGTAAACTAAGGCATAAACAGCTCGAGGAGAAAGGAATACTGAGTGCGAGGCGTAGTACAGATGCTGCCCAGCGAAATCCCACAAAGTGAAACTGGTTTCTTTTGTCTTAACGTGATCTTCTAGTCTCAAAGCCTGCAAGTACTGCACAACCAGTTCCGTGACATCATTCTGTAAATCTGAACTGGTATCGACGCTTAGTTGAATATTAAGGTCAGCTGGCTTGCCTACCGGCACACCACTGTTACTGATGTTGTCAGTCGTCACGCTTTCCTCCTCCTCACTTTTTGATGATGAATTGTTTAAGGTACACGAGGGTGTCGTATCTACCGGCATTGGATCGTCAGCTTGCAGCTCATCGTTGTATCCCTATAATAAGATTTATATCTACATTGGTAAAAGAAGAAATAGAAATTGGTAAAAAAAAATCGTTTCGCACGAGAATCAATCGAAAGCTGACAAATGGAATGGATTTGGCCACTAAAGAAAGAAAACGAGAATGAAATGAACCGTTCAAGTTAAGTTGTCAAGGAGACGGAGTTTGAACAAGGGGAAGGAAGAACGGAATAATACAGCTTCCATACACGAAATCGACATTAGTGACATCCAAAGAATTAATTTAACCTGCTCCAAAAGCGAAGCGACATCATTTGTCTTCTTTGGTTCTTCATCTGTTTCCTTTAGGTCTTTAGCAACTATCCTTGCTATGTCTTCAACAAATTGAGAAACACCCAGTTTCGTATGCTCTGAGCGCTGCCAATTCGTTACTTGATCCACATCGACTTCGCACTTGGATGGGTCAACTTCGACTCCAACAGTGCTCTCTTCCTCGGGATTAAAAGGCATACCGAGCAGAGATTTCTTAAGACTTGTTTTCCCTGCTCGGTCCTGGCCAAGTATCATGATCCGACCACGAAAAACTTGCACTCTGCCATTCCGCAATGCCTTTTGAAAGGCAAGCTCAGCTCTAGGACCTCGCGCCTGAATCTCTGGAGGTATAACAGAACCTACAAAGGAAGAGACTTCAGACGTTTTCTTTCCGAAACCTTTGACAAAGCCGGGGTCGTAACAGAATAGTACTTACCATCAACATTATAATTCATTACTTCTTCTACATACTCTAGCGAGAAAAATCCTATTTGAGCACTTTGTGTGACACCAAACCAAGCAGTTTCGTCATACCTGCAAGGGACAAATCCCAACTAATATGTCTCATTTCACTGCCACTTCAAACCTTTCAAATTTAAAATAGAAGAAGCCTGTAAATCTCAAAATTACAAAGAGGCACTTTCTGCAATTGTATTTCTTTCGCTGAACAGAGACCTGAGTTGGAAACATCACCACAGTGTACGTACTTGTGTCGTTTCTTGGAAACCAGAGTTATGATTTCTCCAGGATTACAGCTGAGAAAACCATCTTTTGACCCTTCGAATTTGCGAATAACCTTCAATTTCAAAGGGTGCTCCTGTAATGTCCAAATGAAATTGTAATAACAACCTATATAAGAATCGTTATTTATAATAGTTATTACTATCACAATTGCAATTATTTAACAACTAGTGTAACAGTCAAAGTTGGAACACAAAACAATTCAATTTCGAAGTGGGCGAAACTTAAATAAAGATTTAAGGTAACGATGCGGGTCTTTCGGTATTCGTGATTTTTCTGATGATCAAGATGGCAAGACAGAATGACACCGCACGCATTTGCTTGCCTTTCCCAAAGCTTCTTACGCGAGGTGCAAAACGTTGGCATACTGTTCTTATTTCACCTTATTACTCTCCAAGGATCATGGCATTTTTCGTTTTCTTCCTTTGCAAAGCAACCTGCATTCTGATGATCCACACGAAATTAAATTTTTCCAAATTCACTCAATACTTAGCAAATCATCATTGTTCAAGAAACAAATTTGCATGGCGTGCTGTAAAATTGTCAATTTATCATACCGCACTAACCTGTGTTACAAGAGATTGCCTGATTTCTGAGAAAGAGGGTGGCATGCGCTCACTGTTTCGTAAACAACGCTGAAAGACGTCACAAAAATGAGAAGGGCAAAGATCACCAAACTTTACGTCACTCCACTTTGAAAGTGCCTAGAAAGTAGAATGGATCCGTTTGAAGGAAAAAACGTGAAGATAGGAAAGGGAAACAAGACATCACTAACGGTGCTTCATATACAGTCCAACATTTATTAAAGATCGCCTCTGTTCATTCGAGGAAGTTAAATTAAAAAACGAGCAGATCGCAAAGCTGGTGTAACTGCAATAGTACTTAAATAAACGTCCTTCCACTGCTAATTTTCGGAATTAATGACACCGTTCACGAAAGCGGTTCTGTTAAAAAACGGCTAAACTTTATTTTAACAACCGGCCCTTGGTGCTTTTCAATTACTTGATTATTATTGGTTATAATTTCCTGGTCGATTCTGGTGGGCTTTAACTACCATAACATAATTAATAAATATTAACTTCTTGGTAAAAAAGTTTTAACATTTCAAGTTATGCGGGTTTTATATATAATCTATAGAACGCTTTCTAATTGACTTGTGATTCATTCGGTTTTCTCTGATTAATAACCTCAACGTAGCAAGTTTTCTTTCTTTTTCACCGAGTTGTATAAACCCATAAGTAACTACAAAACGACGGCCATACTTAAAATCATATCCTATCTACATCATATACAAATGACACCCAATCACTACTGTGGTTAGCCACTTATCTAACCTCTATTAAATATCAACATTTAACTCACCGCAAGTTTTTTGTCTCCTTTATACCTTTGCGAGAAAGCGGAAAATATCTCAGAGAATAACCTCCCGAACATGAAAGCTACACTGTTTAGTGTTTCAGGAACTGCAATATTCATCTGTCTGTAAAGATTGGACAAATCTAAACTAAGTGTTGAGACCTATCTTATTTTTTGGGTTATCCAGGGGGGCTCTGAGCCTACAGTTATAAACCTGTGCAGACACATGAGGTTTTCCGAATACAGCAGAAGTAAGATTAGGTGGAAATAAAGAGAGGGTCAAAGTCGATGATCAGGATCGAATTATGTCTGGCGAGCCCTGATATTAATATTCGTTTCTGGACATTGCACAGCAATGGGCAGTAGATCTCGCCAGCGTTCTAATTCATTGTACGTTGCGAAGTTCCATATATGTCTGTTTCAAAGCTGTTGAATGTTCTATCTTTCGACCGCTTTGAAACAGCTTGCACACCCTTAGGTGCAAACGGATATAGGGCGCAAGTTTCTTTAGAAACTGTGGTATTGCGTCGTTGGGAGAGTAAAACAAGATAATTTGGTTTTATCAACTGAGTTCATGGTGTAAATTGGCCATCGTCAAGAGTTTTTAAGCTGACGTTTCGAGCGTTAGCCCCTTCGTCATTCGCTCTGAAGAGGGGCTAACGCCCGAAACGTCAGCTCAACTCAGTTAATAGAACCAAATCATCTTGTTCAGTGCAAACACTTTACGACAACTTCGTTGATGACCTTCCCGCATTCAACAAAAATTATAACGCCTGATAATCTTTATTCTCCTCTCTTTTCAGCCATAATTCTTCGGCAAAGGCTAAAGTTAACTACATTTTCATCGCTTGAGCTTTCACAATTTCGAATTTTATGATAAATCTACTCTGATAAGATGTGTACTTACCTTTTCAGGTTTACTTCTTTAAACCAACAAGCCGCCAGGCCTGCAAGCTTCAGCTTGGATGAAATAAGACATGGAGTAGTTTAAACTTATATTCAACTGGATTATTCCTTCTGATTATGTGATAGTACTACTACCACCTTTTCCAATGACATGTCGCGAATCTCCCCCTTACTTTAAGTAAATCTACGACGATTCACTTGGAAATAAATGTTTTAGTGTCTCACCATGCAAGCTTTGAACGCGAGCAAGATGGTCTTTTCCTTGATTGTACTGCTAATTGATCCCATTTCCTACACAATGACGATGGCAGTGCCAAATTGGCAGTATCAATGATAATGATGATAATAATGACGATAACAATGATAACTACCTTAAAACCAGCAACAACCAAGAAATTATAATAAAAAACAGATTGGTGAATAACATTTCTTTTCTCCAAGTATTCCAAAGCAGTTGCGGCCTGGATGGTGTATCTCCACAGGTGTTCAATGTTATGATGAGGCCATGATTCTGATAGGTTTCCATATTCTGCAAACTCGACCACCTGTAACGTTACAAAAGTAAAAGGTAAAAAAAAGATAATATAAAAGTTAATATTAAGGCAATAGCCCGCGTAACGGGCCGTAAATAGACTGACGGCATCGCCGCTCATCGCTAAACGTCTACAAAACTTCAAAGCACCCACCTAAAGCTGGAGGAAATAAAGCAAATGAAAACGAAAAGAAACAACAACAAAAAATAACTTGGCATGCCCTGTTTTGAACTAATTGATGATGAATGTCGGCGAAACCTCACGCTATTTATCCACACGCGCGCGTGAGCACTTGATCAGTGATAGGACCTCTCACATTTTTAGACATCTCCATAATTCTCCACAATGTCGCACTCTATGTTCTGATGAGTGTTTTAGCATTTTAGATCACGCTCCCACAACTTTCCAACTTAAAATCAAAGAAGCTATTCATATTCAATGGGAGCAACCCACACTTAATCATCAACTTTATCATGTTAATTTAAAACTTTCCTTGTAAATTACATACATTGTTCTGTTACTATTGTTTTGTTTTTGTCCAATCAGCATTGTGCTACACACTTTAAATTCAACTTTGTACTTCGTGTAAATCAAAACTGAAGATGACAGAAGAACTGTCGAAACGTGTGTTAAAGAAGCGTCGTTTATTGTCTAAAAATTCGTTACATATCTGATGCTATCCAGATCTTTTGGCAATATATAGAATAAATGTGAATAACTTGCCAAAGCTGGGTGTGGTGAATATGAACTAGCAATGACTACGCCGTAGTAAGCTAGAATATTCTCATGACGAAGTTGAAATGCTATTTCTGCTTCTCTCAAGAAGTCCATTTGGTCTTCATCTTGTACCGTTTGATAACGAAGACAAACTTTTTCCTATTGAAAAAAGCAAACATATAAACAAACACAAAAAGACAAACAGGCAAACAAAAACGTGCATGAACGACTCCGATGTAAAATAATATACAAAAAATTTAAATACAGAATGAAATCAGCCAAAGAATTATGTCAAAAATTGTAATGGACCCGCTGCCTAACCTGTGCCGGGAGAAGGCTGCCTACTGCCAACCTTACCTTGTACGTCAAGTAAACAGCGTAAGGTGATTCCTCAGAAAAAAAAAGTTATCGAAGAATTTTTTATCCTTTCCTTAAATATTCCTTGTCTTACCTTAGTCTGTTTCGAAACATACAGTAAAAAGAAGATATAATGGGCCAAACTTACCCCATTTATGCCCGCACTGGCCCTAATCACGCGCGTCATTTCATCGCTTCACGGTACATTTTGCCGCAGCTGGAAGCAAGGTTTTTTAAAGTAACACTCGAAAATAAACTTGATAGTTAGAGAGTTTCGAGCGTATGGAACAATTTGATATATAATTTGCGAGAAAATCATGCAAATTTAAACGAAATCGACTCAAAAAGGTTCCCCGAGTCACCCCTTTCAAGGTCAGTAACGGACCTCATGCACGCTTTTATCTTTTTTCTTTTTTTCCCTTCGAACAATTTTTTTAACATCCCCAATTTAAAGGGGGTAATAAATTTTTATACCAAAATTATGCAATAAAAAATGTAGGTCACCGTACTCGTTCAAGAGCTTAAGACCATCGTCCTTTTTTACCTTGCTCATTGATTGAAAAACAATAACATGTTCTCGGAATGTGCGCGCACTTATTAGCCTGATTACGTGATTATTATGCGCATCACAGGATGCGCCGTGCAATACTGAGGAATCACCTTAAGTCGTTCGTTCTGCTTTGTTCTTTACACTACCTCTTGATTCACGAATACCACAATTCGCGACCTCACTTTTTTAGCTCGTCTTCACCAACTGAGAACCTGGGACAAGTTGGAGTCTGTCCCATTGCGCTCATAATTTTCTCCAAAATTTTCAGGTCAAAATGCTTTATTAAACCTTAACCATATAACACGTTTAGTGTTTGTTATGGGGAAAAAAAAAACGCCTCTTGAGTCAGCGAGCAGGAAAAAAGTCAATGGGTTAATTTAACCAAGGGTAGTTTATTTATCATTCCTTTACTCTCCGAGGACTCCCAAACACTGTTATTTATATCGAGTTTGCCTTTCCTTCAATGTTGTCGGACATACAATTACCCGCAAGCGCACGTACGGTACATGTGACGTCGATTTAACGTGTAAACGAATGAAAAAGCGCTTAAGGGATTTTTCTAATTATCAGCCATTACAAAACAACAACTACAACAACAACGAACAAGCAAACAAACAGACACACACATATGAACAGCAAATTCATTGACAGCAATATGTACCTTCCTCCCATCCGGAAAAGTGAGTTGCGCCTCGCACACTTGTCCCACAAATGGACCCTTCCTCAATGTGTGAGTAACAACTAAGTCTTTCTTTGGGATTACTGGTATATGCTTAATCTCACACGTCTGCACAAGTTTGCTTTGTTTGTATTTCTGCAATAGAATCAGAATTCACTCACAACCTCATGTCAAAAGATACTCTTGGCAGAAAGATCTGTCAGGATGGGTGAGTCATGAAAACACCCCGAACGAGGCGAGTCAAAATTTCAAGACCCTTGACCTATCGCCCGCATTAAATAATGTATCGGCCTATTTTCATACACCGGCGGCCGCGATTTAAATATGTTCAAGAGCGATAGAGACAACCCTTTTTAGGTTGAAATACATAAATATAAAAAATAAAATCAACAAAAAAGAAGTGTAGTTCATAAGGGGAGCTCAAAAGACTTCTGTGCTATCAAAAGGAGTCAACTTCTTATAATAATATAAAACAAATACAACTAAACTAGAAATTTCAGTTTGAAATGAGTGGCCATCCTGTTTCTGTCGTTCAAGCGGGCCACCACCTTGCCCAACAAATTGCTCGACAGTCAGCACTACAAACGGATGAGAAGGAAAACACTGACCGCATTCCATTCACTCTCCCATTTCACCCTCACAACCACGCAGTTAAATCTATCATTCATTAAACTTTAAACTACTCCAAAACGTTTCAGAGACTGGTACTATCTTTCCGCAACCTCCATGGATTTCATTCAAACGTGACAAAACCCTAGGCCACTTTTTGGTCAGAAGTTCATTTCAAACCAATGGCCACCTTGGAACTTTCGAATGCGCTCGCTCACGATGCAAAACTTGTTCTTTCATTCATAACGTAGAGAAAATGTCGGGACCCACGAAACCCATCAAGAACACTGATCACTTTACGAGCACCTCTGCCAATGTTATTTTTTGCATTACTTGCACTTATTGTAAAAAGTTCTACATTGGTGAAACAGGAAAACGACTAGGTAACCGATTCCGAGAACACCTTCACGACGCAGAAAGAAAGTTTGCAGCCTTTTCCTACATCTAGGCAGTTCGGAAAGCCACAAAACACCAGAACAAAAATTTATCTTCCAAATCGACTCTCTCTTAATCCCCGCGGTATCAACGAGCGCTTTTAATTCGCCTAATTTATTCTTGTTTTCTCGTCACCGTATTCCCACCTCTAGCGTAGCTCCATTTTCTGCATGTAAACCCACACAGAACCCACAATTCGTCCAATCGCTCTAGCTAACGCTCGAAACGTCAGCCTCTAAACTCTTTCCGATGGCCAGTTTACGTTTTCAACTCAGTTGTTAATAATGGTAATTGAACTGAGTGGAGTGCACAGCGCGAGCTCGATTTGAAATCACAAGTATGATTTCAGACCAAAATTTCACGACACAAGGTTCAATTACTACTCTATTACATCCATTTTGAAATCGCCCAAGTACATGACTTGATCAGTTCAAATATTTAATTGATGCAGTACTGAGCTAGTTTGAAATTAAATTCACCATTTTTTGGGGGGAAAAACCAGAGTTTTGGAAACAAAGGTTGCAAAATTCGCCACATGTTACTCTTTGTCTTTCATTTTCCTGCAATTACATTGGTTACTTTAAACAAGCCTTGAAATCTGATTGGTTGTTTTGTTTTCAGTGTAGCCTCCTCATTGGCTGGAAAAATGATGCGATTTAAAGCAAGAAATGGTGCGATCCGTGAATAAATCGCACCAATTTGAGCCAATCAAATTACAGGGACCACCAGTGATTTCAAAATGGGTGTAATAAACACCAAAATTACCTACAAATCAATGTGACGTTACATGGTGAAAAAGCCAAATTGCGCGTGCCCCGAATCTGACATCCAAAAAGAGCCATGAATCCTCACCTCTTCTATGTTAAATACACCGCTGACCCTCTCAAATATTGTGCTACCTGGCTAAGGCTCACCGGCAAAAGCAAATGTTTACAGCAAGGATACAGTGAATATATGTCCACACCGACGTAGCGCAGCTGGGCTTAAAAGGGTTTCTAGAGGCGAAATAACTTGCAAGCGCTGTGTACAAAAATTAGCACACGATGTAGTGGTTACGTATCAAAATTCAATGTACGTGCAATTGTCATGTCATATTTTATAACTAAAGAAAAGCTAAAACATTTTCATTTACGTTACCTGTACAAGTTCCATGAAATTGAAATCTTTGCCCTCAAGGAAAGATTTTATTTCGTCACAGATGTAAGCAGATGTGCTGTCTTCTGCAGTGTATTTCTGTAAATCGTCTAAGCTCGTAATATTGAAACTGTAGCAAAGTAGATCAAAGAGGTTTCTACGACCAACTTCAGCCAAGGCAATATACAACTTGTCCAAGTCAGTCAGTTCTTCGGCCTCATCCTATGAAAGAAGAACTTGAAACTTGATTGGAAAATATAGACAAAAAAAAACATTTAATGATCATCAAGTGAAAATAAATAAATACACACCTGCTTGTGACTACTAGTATATCAAAGAAATAAGAAATTTACCTAGTATGCACATATAGCTTTTCCACTAAATTTTAATTGAAGTTTTGAAGCTTATAGTGAATGAAAAATTCGATCTCCATGCCAATATTACTCACATCTGTTCTGAGTTATACGGATAAAAAAAATAAATACACTTGTAATTAGTCACCAAACGAAGTTTCGCTTTTTGAAAGCTTACACACATGGAACACTTTGGATCAATGTCAGTATTTGAGTACCTGTGTACCTACCCCTCCCCTAATCCAACATCAGTCAACTGAGTCTGATAACAAGTTGGGGTTATTAGTGAGTGAGGGGAGGGGAGGGGTACATGTAGGTGCACAGTTGCTAAGAAACTGACTTTGATCCAAAGCTTTACTGTCATTTTAATCAGAACACCCAATGGTGCTGAGCCAAAGCTGTGATCGTGTAAAATGAGTAGTTTGCTATTCAACTAAATTAACAATAATTTTTAGATTCACACAAACTTTAGTTAATTTAATCTATCCCATCACATTTACACTAAAGGCTATAACCTCTACACCCCTTACCCCCTGAAAATTATTCAAAATCATCTAAACCACAGCACCTTGGTAGATAATAAATCAGAACCAGTAAGTATCTCTTTCAATCCTGATTTAGCACAAAGCAAATGATGAGTAAATGGTTCATTAAAATTACCTGTTTACTGTTCAAGACTAAACAAACTAACCTTGTTTTCAGCACTGTCTTCCCTAACATCACCTTTTGGGACATCATTGCCTGGTTGTTTCCTTTCTCTGTTGTTACTACTCGATTGATGAAAGGCTTTTCTAAGGGATTTTTTGGCCTTTTTCATCGTTTCTCTGAAAGCAATAACCCAAGCCAGCAAATTTTCAGAACTTTTATATTTGTTCAGACATAATGAGATGGCAGTAAATGCTGCAGTAACCTTCCCCCCCCGCCCCCCCCCCCACACACCTCCAGCCCTGCCAAGAGTCACCCTCCTTTCATTTGCCCTATTAGAAAACTATAGAAAGCTATGATTTCAATTATTATACGATACTACAAAGTGTGCTTTAACCCTCTACACCCTAGAAATGATAAACATCTAATTTCTCCTTGCTGTTTCACCCCTAAATCACACATTAACCCTTTAAATCCCATCACTGACCAAGACAGAATTTTTTTTCTACAATATTAATACAATATCAACCATATAAGTGATGAGAATGAAGGCAAATATCAATTTGGGGATAGTTAGTTGATCCAATACTAAATTCTCTGAACTAACATTAGAAGAACTGTATAGTTGACAGAAAGAAGAATTACAAATTTGATCTGAAAGTTAAAGGATTAAGGTCATGAGAATAAAAAAAATGATCACCAACCAAAGAAGCTCAAGTTGATTGTTAAACAGATTCTCCTAATGTCAGCACCTTAGGAAATGTTTAGAGAACAGTATGGAGAATATACATACTGATGTTAGGGTATAAAGGGTTAAATTATGCTGTATTAACCAATCCTACCAAGAGTAACCCTCCTTCCACCTATCCTTTGTGAAAACTCAAAAACTGAATGGCAGAAATAATTATAATACAATATAAATAATCACAATTAAAATCTATCAAATATTTTTGCTTGCACACATGATCTAAACACATCATGTTCCCAACTATTCCTTTGCTAAAGCTGGGGAATATCCCAGGATATACCCCACCTTATGTCCACTACAATGAGTCTGTTAGAATTTCATTCAAGATGAGAGTGTATTGTGGTTGATATAGAAGAGACATGTATTTTTTGTTCCTAAAGTCAATGTGAAAAAGAACTGAAAGAGAACATTTTCCAGCAAAGTGCAAAATATTTGAAGGATGATAAATGCAATAGCCCCCATTTGGTGCAAAAACAATGCCCTATCTTAAATCATAGGAGCCAAAGTATATTTTTTAATACAGTCATGAGAGAAGAGGTTAAGGGGCAGAAGGGAAAATACTACCTGTGTACACCAGGGCCTAGGTGGATAAAGGGCAGATCATGCTATTTGACAGATAAATTGCTATCCAGTGGATAAGTGATAGCAAAACGTATGGCGTTATCCACTGGATAGAGTCTTTTCCAGTCAATAGCATTATCCAACCTTCAAACTACTGGTACCAGTTTGATAAGTAATTGAAGCTATACCATTATATTATTCTTTACATTTCAACAGATGCCCAGATTACTGCAGGGTGACTGAGAGCATTTAACCCTTTAACTCCCAAGATCTATTTTAATCTATCTCCCCTCTTGCTGCTATACATTTCTTTCTAAACTAGTTTGGAGAATTTGGTGTTCAATCAAGAAAAAAAACTTTATGTGATAAGTTTAAGTATTCCTTTACCTGTTTGCTATACAGTGTGTGGCTATCATTGGGAAAAATTTTCTAAATTAGTTCGGAGAATTTGGTGTGAGATTAAGAAAAAAAACTTCTATATGATAAGTTTAAGTATTCTCATTACCTGTTTGCTATACAGTGTATGGATATTATGGGAAGAAGTTACCCTTCAATCACTTCTGGAAGTTAAGGATTAACAGTATTTCTTTTAAATTCTCCCATTTCCAAATGACACGAATGCTTGTTTTCATCATAAATTTTGGTTCCAGGGCAAAAGGACAATCAGTATTCTTAGCTTCTATTAGCCTGCTGTGCAGGCATCTTGTTAGGGCGAGCCATGTTTGATTGGGAGGTAGAGTGGACAGCATCCCCACCCTCACCCCTCTCCTTATTTTTGACCGTCAACCGCTCCCTCAATACAAATTTCTTTCTCTCCCCAGCCTTCCACTGCCACTAAAATCAAAGATGGCGGCCATAATTTCCGTTAGGAAAATACTGAGCACTCGTTCGCCAAAATTACGCCTACTCTGCAGGCTACCGATGTATAATTATTGAGTAAGATAAGAGAGATAATACATCCTTAACCTTGCCATTTTTATCGGGAAATGCCCATAAAATATGCTCCAAGTCTAAGTTCAGATCTCTCTAATTCTAACAGGGTCATGCTCAAATGAGGATAGTCAAATTGCGGAAGAAAACAGAAATGACCAAATACATGAAGATCACAAGGAAAAGCAGTTTGGAACCCCATTCTAGACCCACACCTTTATAAAAATTATATTTCAGGCTGGAGGGTAATTAAAGTATTTAAGTTAAGATCTTTCTAACTCCAACAGGGTCATGATCACATGAGAATTACACAAAATGCGGAAAAAATTGATATGACCAAATTCATGAAGATCACCAGCAAAAGTATTCTGGAACACCATTCTAGACCCACACCTCTATAAAATTTATATTTCAGGCTGAAGGGTAATTTAAATAACAATAATGAAGCCATCATGCTCAACAGATGTTTCGCATTGCGATCTCACAATCAAACGCAAAACACTAGGCTACATTCGATTGCTGAGTGAGGAAGTTATTTGCAACATTGAAACCTACCATCTAATGTCCATGCATTCGCTTGAAGTCCAAGAGGAAGAACGTATATTAACGATGTCGATTTACCGACGTGTTGCACTTGCTTGATTGTCAATGGAAAGTTGTTCCCATACTCAAATTGTGAAATACGGTTACCATTTCACCAACATGACATAAGTGACAATACTAAGCAACATGTATCTGTCTCCCCGCTGACTTGTTCGATCGCGGGAGCTCTCAAAGTAACGCAACACGAAACGCGCAAGACCTCCCGGAGGTCTATGACGCGATCTGCTGCATGACCAGGCTCGCAGTGTCCTTCGAGGGTGTTGGAAGAGAAGGAGTGGGTCTTGAGTGGTCGCTCAGAGAAGATAACAAATTGCAGCGTTTGTTAGTGCAACAGCAAGGGAAGTACAACAAGCTCAGCTTAAACTTAGCAGAGACCGTGAACTCTGAAATGAGGGTACAGTTAACGGTCTAGAAGGGAGAGGTACCCGACATGTTTGATAGAGATAGCCTGTCCAGTTACGATCTAAAGGTACGATGAAACTCAAGCATTGCACAATTCAGCTTTTCACATGTATACAGTCATTACCAATTTTTTTAGAGGACAAAATATATCTTAATTAATCAGTTAAGGCGCTAGCTCTTCACCTCAGGGCTAACTTTGATTAAAGAAGACAGTTTAACAGAGCCTTTACCGATTGGTATGTCTTCAAAGACTGGATCGTTTTCTTCAAATATCTCAATGTGCTTTGGGAGAGCCTTCTCACTCCTAAACGTGATTAAGTATCCAGCGTCTGCGAATTATCCCCGCAGGCAAATGTGTTGAAAGAGGAGAAATGTCGATAGACCGGTAAGTGTTAACAAGCAACTGCCTTAAACCTCTTATAGGCGCGTTAGTTCTATGCCTTGTCAACCGTCTGTTGACTGTCTCCTGGAACGGTCATTATACTGTAGGCCTTTGAGCAAAAAGGGCCCTGAATTCGAAAGCAAAGCAGGCTGAATTTCCTTACAGGCTTTCGTTTAACGCGAAACCATTAAAGCAAATGAAACTTTTCAGGTACGGTGTCCAATTGGCTCTCTTGCGATCAGTTGTGTTGGAAAAGGTTGAAGCTTTATAATCAAAGCAAAATATACGCTCTGATGACTGGATGTACCGCTGCTGGATACGTCGGTACTTTTTTGTTCATCAATTTGTGGTACATTTTGTTTACTTGTTAATTGATAGATTTAAATTTCAGTATAGTGTCCTCATTAGGAAGGCCATATCAAGTCAACCAAGGAATCAAGTACTTATCATAACTCTGACAATTTAGCATATAATCTCTGTCTTTTTTAACATTAATAGCTTGCATTTTCAGACTGAGAGAAAAAGTTCATTGTCGTTCTTGTCTTTAAAATCGTTCAATGGGGGAGAGCGCTTAAGATTACTTGAAGCTTAAAATATTTATTCACTGAGCTAGATTTTTAAAATGGGCACAGAATTATTTTTAAGATACTTCTTCTGCTGTTGTTATGTCGTCATTGATAATTTTATAACACGTCAACCCCATCCAGGTCATCCTCATTTGTCTTGACCTCTTGCACCAGATAATAGTCCTTCGACTCGTCAACTTTGTCAAAGTCAAAGTATTCAACTTCCTGATGCATCAGCTCTTCCAATCTTCCAACCAGCTCCTGGAAACTTGGCCGTTCATTTAGTTCTTCTTTCCAACAGTCCAGCATCAAAGAATAACTGAAAAGAGTAGATAAATGGGGATTACTTATCTTAGAGGTTTACAACAAACGACAGCCATGTAATAAAAGTAATTTCGAAACCAAAACGAGCCCGAGTATTTTCTACTAAATATAAACGTTTTACACTTGCGCTTATCACAAGAGTTATGAAGAGAAAGCGTAAGAAGTGAAACGAAGAACTCGAAAAAAGGTTAAAAGTTTACAAAAAAAAAATCAGATTTCTCAGTCAAATAAGCTATTATTCTTTCCACTGAGATGGAGAGAACTCGTCGGTGAGCTGGGGAACACAGTACGGGTTAATCAACGAAATCATTTTCCAATTAAACATATTTTGTAAACTGAAGAAGAATAAAATGATATCAGCTTTGCCCAAGAATAGAGATATACTTCCCTTTTCATTTCCATTAGTCTTATAGATATTCGAAACTAAGTTTCATATAAGCTACGTACACATGATCTGAGCACAATTCAGGTTTCTCCATCCGGTGGCCAGTCTTTAATAATCTCATGAGCTCTGCATTAGTCAGGAGTGGATAAGGTGAGCCCCCTAAACAAGTAAATAAATAAATAAGTACAATTAAGAAGAACAAGGAGGACTCTACGGAGGACTGCTTGAGTTAACGTTGCCCTTTAGGATCCTTGGTGCTTATCAATTTATGTAATCATCTCCAGCTCAGTTACAGAGTTAGATCTAACACTAAAGGGGCGGCGGAATGAAGGAAAAATTGAGCATGTATTGTGTGAAAGTATTAGCTATTTTAATTTTATTACCAACAGTTGCAATTTCCCACAAAACCACTCCATACGACCACCTGAAAAGAAATAAAAGTCATTCCAAAATAACAATACTGCATTTGGATTCTTGTAGGGCCGCGCTGGACTCCGGGTAAAGATTTCCTAGGGCATTGTGTTGTTTTCTTAGACAGAGTATACTTAGCTACAGATGAACTGTCAGGGCAAGCTGACGAAATGCCTGGGGGTAGCCTGCGATGGACCAAGCATCCCATCCCAGGGGGGAGGGTCCGATACCTCTTTATACTTCATGCCAGAGAAACTAAAATAAGCTCCAGTTGGATGGGTTACTTGGCTCGAGTGCAGACTTAACCACACCTTTTTACTCATGTGCTTTTTAAATATTTTTAACTGAGACCCTTTGGTTCTTACTCTTTTTCTTGTCAAAAATTTATTTATGTAAATATCTTTCGTTCGCACCAGCTATTTACCGGAGCCTTTAGGTACATGTGACACTTATTGATAACCGTTGGCAATAATTGGTCTTTGAGGCAGACATAGTGAAGATTGTAATATTGGAATTAGGTCAAATATATATTCCTTTGTCCCTTTGAGATAAATTCAAGTAGCTTGCGTGAAAGAGATAAAAGAGAGAGATACGTGAATATTGCTTATAAAAGAATGATTTACCGTCAATGGAATTTATGATTGGATGCTGTAACTGTTATGAATCAAGTAAAAGTTACTAACACATCGCTTTTTGAAGTAAATATCTGTTCGTAAAGTGACTCAGGTGCCATCCATTTCACTGGCAGTTTTTTCTGCTTCTGCACCTCATACACCTGATGATACACTTCTCGCATCAAACCGAAGTCCGCAATCTTAAGCCTTTTACCGTGCCCGACAAGAACATTTCGTGCCGCAAGATCTCTATGAACGAGGCCTTTCCCAGAGAGGTAACTCTGAAAAATTAACACATTTTTGATTCGATAAAAGAAACCATCACTATTAGCTATCAAGCCTCGGTTGTTGGAGGGTTTGATGAAGATATATACAGCTATCCACTGGACAAATCTATCTCTGATGGATGGTGAAGTACGTTTTCCTATCACTTATCCGTTAGATAGCAACTTATTCTTTGGACAGCGTTATCCACTCATCACACGACTGGATCGTGATGTATGGAGGAAGGGAGGTATTCATCTTCTGAAAGGGTTTGATTTGTGACATTTTCAATAGCCGGGATTTGATAAATATTTACTCGTCCAGTGAACACAAGTTCTCGTGGCATTTTTGTAATGAAAGTTTTAAGGTTAAAAACTTAATTTCATCACTCAAACATAGAGGGAACGCTTACAAGATGAAAAACCCCGAATTCATATATTACCGTGCTATATATAAGCGGCGCACATACATATGTGCACATGAGCTGATCGCAATAAACGCGCTACTAACGATCTACCAATAAAATGGATCGCATAGCTCCAACAGTACTTCGTTATGATTAAATATAGAGAAGTTACCAGAAATAGACTGGGGAGTAACAACACTCAGGTCTGAGTCTCTGTGTGCTTCTGCGTCATGAAAAAATTAACAACTTAGACAATTGAGAGCAGTCCTCCATCACCATTTAGTCCGCAGATTTCTAGTTTTTCTGACTGAAATCCTCGAAAAATTTGGATTTTTACAAAACAATTTTTCTTTGCTGCCAAAAGATTTCACAATTTTGTCAAAATTTTTATTGCAGACCAGTTTCACTTACCATGCCTCCGGCTATCTGCCAAGCAAATGACAAAAGATCAGCTGGAATGAACGACTCGCAATCAACACTGCACTCGTCATTTGTCTTCCCTGAAGTTCCATCGGTTCCCTCTTCTGAAGTTGAGAAAACAACCAGTGGTATTTTGCATTCATCTATGCCAGGTTGGCCTGAGACATCACCAAGACCAGGTACGTCCTCAGGTATTTCTCCCCTCCCATCACACTCTTCGTTAGTCTGCATTTCACAAAGCAAATCTTTTTACGCTTCATCCGGATAACTGTTACCTCAGTATGCCTTATGTTAACCAACGTAGTTAAGTATGAAACAATACTCGAAAGTAAAATTAGCATGGGGAGTAGCTGCTACAAAACTAGTACGAAGACCGAATAAAGAAGGAACAAGAATTGCCTGTTGCGAAGTAGATAGGTCTAACACTTTTCTACCTGATCAACGGTTGGTCCAAAGACAGCAGTCCTAGATCCTGCGTACAGATCGTTCTCCTTTGGTTTGCTGTCAGCCGAGCTGTTAATCTAAGCATACGACGTTTTTTAAGCATCAGCTGGCATAAGAAATGGTATCAATAAGGAACAACTTAGAATTAATATACGAACCCCCTTAACCTATCTCATTACATGTCCCCTGAGATATCTGTCTCTTGTCGTGAGCAAAGTCGGTATTCAGGTCTGAACAATGTTTGAAGTAAGTAATCTAGATTCTGTGAACGCTTTTTTGTATCTTCAAACACTTGGGACAACTGTATCATGGGTGCTTTAAACACAGAAAATAATTCTCTCTTTACCAGAGTATTGGAACTGTATCAATCATATCACATTCGTTACGTGTTAGCAACAGTCGGGTTTGCAAAAATTAACAAGGTAAGTTGGTATTATCAACCGAGCTGATAACGAAAATTGGCCACCGTAAAGAGTCAAAGCCGACATTTCGAGCGTTAGCCCTTCTTCAGAGTGAAAGACGAAGTGCTAACACTCTTTAAGGTGGCCAATTTACGTTATCAACTCAGTTGATAATACCAATTACCTGGTTATACCCTCCCTCCGACGCAGCACCACAGTTTCCTTAGAAACCTACTTCCTTAAGAGAAATTACCTGAGTTCGCTTGCTTCTAAGCCACTGAAGCAAGTCTCCATGAGCTACATACTCAATAACCAGGAGAAAAGGTTCGGTCGTGGTCCAACACCCGAGGAAACTCAAAATATTCCGATGTTGACCGACTTGCCTCATCAGGTCTATTTCATCCAGAAATTGTCTTCTCTGCTCTTCACCGGCATTTTCTTTTTTGAATAAATAAATAAACAGGAATTACGAGAAAATTGATAAGAGTATACCTCTGCTTCTGGCTACGAGCCGTTCTGTAGAAATTTTTTAGCCGAAAAAATTTCCGCCGGACTCAAGCAATAGCGAGCACATGTACATAAATATCCGAAAGGGAAAGCTTTCGAAGATTAGCACCACAAAGAGAAAACAATTTAGACCACATCAATGGACTAAGTTCATCAACTACATAATGTAGAGGTATTTTTTTATTGGAATTTAACGATGAATGACCAAGCCGATGAAATGCTGATAATGATATCGAAGGGGATCATAGTCATACTTACCATGCAGTTCCTTTATTGCCACAATCTTTTTTCGCTTGGCCTTACCAATGAAATCATCACCGTTTTTTAAGTAATCCAATCCATCCTTGAGTGTTGCCTTATGAACCTTCCCAAATGCTCCCTCGCCTAGGGCTTCGATAAATTCTGTTCTTAATGGATGGACTTCGCACTGCTCTAAGACATGAATATCGTCGACCGTCCTTAATCAAAATCAATTCAGTTAGTTCAGTTTGGTTGCACCATAACCCAACCCAGAAACAAATTTACTTCCACATCAACTGTCAGGAAAAGCTGGTTTTACTAAGCAAGCAAACTGATGATGATAACGATAATAGTGACAGTTATGGTAATAAAGAAATCGCCTAACAGACTCATATTCTTAGCTTGGACTGCGTCCGAGATAATACCCCTTGGTGGAGAAATAATGATATTGGTGGTAAAAATGAAAGGAGTATTAGGTTAGTGGGGATAAAATTAATTTTAATTGATGTCAATATAAGCGGCCATAAATACCTTTTGACCTGTTTTGATGCGCGCTTTTTGTAGTAGCACCACACTCTTATGATCAGAAGAAGGGCGACCAAAACAACAACGCCGGCAACGATCAGTGCGATTAGGTTAACCAGCTCTAACGGCGGAGAATCTACAGGAAAAAGGACATCATTATGTTTGCTGCCTGCGTGAAATTTTTAAACGCTTTACTTTTTTACCGCTTTAAGAACAGACCTTGAAGTGCGTGTCACTTTGCAGTTAAAAAGCCCTTTTTATTTTGTTGTTCTCTGAGCGAAAACGTTGTCCTACTTTAACGTTTGAAACTTTTTGTGGAGCTGATCCCAACTGTGCTGGTTAAGGCAAGATTCCTCAGTTGGTGGGGAATTCTTATCTGCTCGTGGAGGAGTGTAAGAGTTATTCAGCAAAGCAATTCCAAAAAAGACTTTAAAAACTGCCGATGTAAAAGATTGTAATTTCCACTTTCAATACCCTTGCTCCAATTGTAAAATCTCATTTGTAACAAACCCTCTTTAGACGAAAGCAGGCCATGTGTTTACATGGTTGATTAATGTCAAATATATGAAATTGTCTCTACCTGTTAAATGGGATTCTCTAGCTTCCTGCTGAGAGGTTGTTAAGTCGTTTGTTGTTGCCGACTGCAAAGAAGACAGGTCTCCACCTCCTAGCTCATTCCAGGCCCTAGCCTGAAATTCATACGTCGTGGAGCAATTCAGTATAAGTTCCGTTTGCTTGGCTCCCTTATCTGTTACATTAACATATGTCCAAGTATTGTCATCATCAAGTCCTTTTTTCCTGTAGCTGAGTGTGTAAAAGAGTATCGGGCATCCAGTGGATTTTGGTGAGGTCCACTCTAGTGTGACATTACATCCTGAAACTTTCCGTTCGACTATTTCAGGTGAACCAGGACGGTCTATAAATTTCGTAAAGTAAAGAAAGAGTATAAAACCATAAAGTTTGGTCTAAAGCCATAACGTTACTGTCCTTGACACGACTATTGCGTTGCCTTTTTTTAGTTAAGATGGACTTAATTAAGATGTATCATAAATTATCATAACGAAAATCAACTCTACATTGCAAGACCTTGCGATGGGCGAAAGAAAAGAGGTTTGGATAGCCTGCCCGCTTTCTTGCCTTCAAGGAATAACATAGAATACTATGGAACTAAGTAATCATTGCTCTACAGTTCTGCTGGATGGTATTGAAAAAAAATAAAACCTGCATAAAACTTTCACTAGCTAGAGAAATTGTACCTGCTTGTTTAGTGGATATTTCCTTGGCGATGGATGGCAAACTGTATCCAAGTTTATTTTTTGCAAACACTCTGACACGATACTTAGTATATTTCTCCAAATGTGTAAATAGACATGTTCTTGGTCTGTTTGTTCCATATAAACTGCAGTTAATCCATTCTCCTTTGGGATCAGCCACTGCTATCTGTGCAACGTAGCCGATCACAGGGTCTCCTAATGCCCCAGGTATTGGTGGATTCCACGTTACGTTGATGGAGTTACACTGTCCCGAAATTAGAGGATGTAAGGTCGGTTTGTATGGAACATCTGGCAAAAGAAATCGGTTGTTCCGCTTTAAATCTTTAATTTCCATCTTTACCCGAGTTAAACATGCTTACAACGACTGTTGAACATACAAGAAGGACATCCGACGAAAGTTCAACCTCAACTTCAGTAAAGTGGATGCCAACTGCACCACAAATTTAAATCTGAAGATTTTTTGGTATAATCAAGAAAAAAATTCATTGTCAACCTGATTTTCACATGAATGATTCCTTTTAATAGAATGTATGATTAAGAGTTAGTCTTAAAAAAACAAAGGGAGCGAAAACTATCAATGATAGTTGATAAAATTATAAGACTGACTTACCTTGAGCTGTTCTCACTTTCCAGGCTATGCTGTTTTCACTTCGTCCCAGCTTGTTCCAAGCGGCAATAATGAATTCGTACTGTTTGCTGTATTGAAGCAGCAGTTGATAACTTGTAACTCCCGAAATGTTTATTTCACTCCAGCTTTCCATAAGTGGTCCTATTACTCTGAAGTGAATGGAGTACATAGTAATATTGCAATTGTACTGTTTGGGGCGTCTCCAAGTTACAGTTACATTTCTGTCCGAGACCGATGAAACATTCGATTTAATCTCTGGAGGATCAGGTCGATCTAAAATGGAGACAGACGTTGTGTAGATTTGGGCAACGAAAGAAATGGACATCTAAATGTGATAGCCAGATGGGTATCACAATCCGAATGACGTCATAAGCATCCATAGATCTATGCACACATCCATCCAGCCATCCATCCCTCCATTCGCCATTTATCCACTAATCCATCAATCTTTCCTATATATATATTTTTCTATTCATTCATCCATCCATCCATCTTTCCCTCCACTCATCCATTTATACATCCATCCATCCATCAATCAATCCATTCATCCATCAATCTATCAATCCATCAATCCAACAATCCATCCATCAGTCCATCCATCCATCAATCCATCCATCCATCCATCAATCCATCCATCAATCCACCAATCCATCAACTTACCAATCCATCAATCCATCCATCCATCGATCGATCTATCCATCCATCGATCCATCCATCCATCAATACACCCATCCGTCAATCCATCCATCTATCTTTCCCTTCAGTCATACATGTATGTATCCGTCCATTCACCACCGCTCCACCCGTCCATAAATGTATTCATTCATTCATCCTTCCGACCATCCATCTATCCACCCATCCATCTATCCATCCATCTATCCATCCATCTATCCATCCATCCATCCATCCATCCATCCCTCCACTTATCCATCAATCCATTCATCCATACCTCCATTCATTCATCTAGCTAGCCATCTACCCTTCTACGCACATTTATCCATTCATCTGTCCATCCATCCCATCAAGCATTCATGCATCCTTTCATCCATTATATCACTTACCTGCGTGGTTTAATGGGATTGAAGTGTTCGTCCAATCACTGAAACCCTTCCGGTTGAAAGCTCTAACGCGAACATTCATGAGAGGGCCACTCTTGTCAATGAGTAAACCATGGAAGGAACATGTATTATTTGGAAGGAACCGACTGCAGTTGCGCCAATCACCACTTTGTTCCATCTGGACCTGGAACTCCGTCACTGAACCTCCACCGGATTCAGACGACGATGCCTTCCAAGAAACCTCCATTATACCACATTGCTTCCGTTCAATTTTTGTAATCGATGGTATGAAAGGCACCCCTGTAAACGCAATCAAGAAAATACTTTCAGTAGATCTACATTTTCCTATTCTGAATGGGGAAATAAAATCATTAATTAATACTTTAAACTAAAATGGTTAGTTTTCCCTGACTTCTTCGTATGACCCCAGATCGCGTGGTTCACATTCAAGGTCGTACCTCGTCCTCGGGAAAGACATTTTACTCTTGCTCCTCTTCACTAAGGAGTGTGTATAGGGCGTACAAGGGTACCAGAGAACTACCGTACTTGAAATGTTGGGAGTAACTGGAGAAACGGTAGAAACACTCTAGGTCGCATACTGTGTTGGGGACCTGGATAAGCTCTTGTTGGGTATATTGCTTGTGTTAAGCAGCAACTATAGTTATATAGATCGAAAACTCACAGACCCATTACCATTTTCCGTTCGTAAGGACAGCACAGACTTCTCGGTGTAGTGGCTATGTCCCCGTTGATTCCAAGCAAAGACCATTATGTGGTAATTTTTGCTGCAATTTAACCAGAGACGATAATCGTTTACGTTTGACCATTTCAAATTGATCGTATTCCACCCACTCGTCTCGTCTCTGTAGTGAATCGTATACCGTGATATCGGGCAGCCGTTGGGAGAGGGAGCATTCCACGAGAGTTTAGCACTGCATCCATAGGGAACTGCCTTTATATCAAATACACCTGGAATATCTGCAATGCAAAAACGACATTAACTATGTCTAATAATCATTTCAATAGTCCAGTAATGATACTTCAAGGAATTTTAATCAATATTTCAACTTTAATTAATACTTCATGACATGGAAGTAAAAATACAAATTCCTTTGTTCAGGTCGGAATGAAGGAAATAAAGGAATCCTATCCAACTATTTTTTTTACTTCTCAACACCAATCGTATGAAGCTTAAACTATACCCCATTTACCTTTCGTTTCCCTGTAATCGGAATCAAGCAAATGCTTAATTATAGCTCCAAAAGGTGTTATCACAAGAGTTTACTTTGTGAATTAGCACCATATTAGAGGCATCCATTTTTTACTTTCAAATTACAGCAGCTCAACATCCAATGGTCTGAAAAAACGCTGCAGTTTAATCTTTTTGAAAATACTGATCTTCTTGGATATCTTTCAATCTTTGCAGCACTGATGATATTACAATCCGCAAGTGCATCAGCTTTTTTTTCATGTTAGTTCTTTTATACTAAATTGAGCAAAAGAGGGCAGCGTGAATAACGTTATGAACGGTACCAAGTATCGCAAGATATTTGCGTTCTCTTGTTTTACGTAAGACGGATCGGTTGGATCCATTATATTTTTGATTCCAAGTTAACCAATTATATGTAATTCCCTCGCTTACCTGAGGTAGTTTTCAACAATACTTTTGTCCAAGGACTAACTGATGATGAGCTGTTGGAATATTTAGCTCGGATATTGAATTCATAGTCTGTGTTCATTTGAAGTCCGACAAATTTGTGTGAGACTATTTCCCTTGGGACATTAGCGTTCCACCTCGATCTTTCATTTGTGGATCTCAATGTAAATTCATAGCCAAAGATCACATTGGCTTTAGGCTCTGTTGGTGGTGCGCTCCACCCCACTCTTATGGCACTTCCACAATCGGTTGATTCCCATTTCAGAATTTTTGGAGGTGATGGCGTGGTGAAATCCACTGGAAAATAAATTTTTCAAAGGAGGTTGCTTGGCTGATTGTCTTAAACAATGGGCGTTGAATGAACAGATGAACGGATGAACGGATTAAGAAATCAATGAATGGATTAATGAATGGATGATGGAGGGACTTATGGAAGAAAAAGGAGAGAAAGGATGAACAGAGAATACATTTCAGTTATGTTTATTTTTTCCTACAGGAGAACCTTTCCAGACATTACTTGAGTTGAAGTTTAGATTCTGTTTCAGAAGCTTTTGAGTCATGTACGAGATATGGAGGGAAATGAAAATTTGGAATATTAATTAAAAACTGAAATTTTGAGTTGAATATGGATTTTCGAAATGAACCTTTAAAACATCGAGAGGAGTTTTAGAGGATTATTGGTCAGCGCCATACCGTTTAATGCTGAGACAATGATAGCATAGAAATGTATTTCTTACCTAATAAAATGTCCTTTATTGCGACTGAGATATTAGCCATTAGCAATTCACAAACGTATTGACCCAAATTTTCTTTAGAAGTGTTTGTAATACGAAGGATTGTAGAGCCTTTCGAATGGTGGCAAAAGTTGGGGGGACGAATGTCATCAGACATGCTGTACTTGTCATTTTTTCGTATTGTATGGCCCTGAAATCTCCACTGCCAGCGGTAGAAAAGCAACTTGTTATAATCAACGCCGTTTGCATGACATCTTAATGTAGCATTTGACAAGCCTGATTTAACTTGACGATCTCTAACAGTGAGCTCAGTAACGGTTGGTGGACCTGCAAGAGAGAAAAAAAGACACGTTTATCAAAACATGATGAACAGCTCTCCCTCTAGAATTGAAATATTGCCCCTTTTTTGCGATCTCGAACCTGGGTGCCAGCAACATTAGAAAGTAGTAAAGCTAAGGGCAATGATTACAGTGATAACGATGATGACAGTAATCGCTAAATGCTAGTAAAAAAAATCGGAAACGAGAAAGGTAAGTTGCCCAAAATTGGTAACTTCAAATTGCAAAAAGTCATAGTGGGGGAATTTGGAAAACTGACAGCCGTCTGTTACTTTGCCAATTTTCATTTGAGATAACTTGATTACTGATTCATTTATTTGTCTATCAGATAAGTGAGTGACGAGACAAAAAAATGACGACCAAAGCTCCCTCACAGGTGACCGACACTTGAATATTGCGCCTCCTTGTGAGGTACTTGTTTTTGGCTTCACAGCTGAAGAACCCAGCATGACGTATATCGACTTCAGAAAATTGCAATGATGAATTGATGCTTTCAGCATTTTTTCCTTCTTTGAGGGATACTGAAATGTTGAGATCACCATCTTTAAGTTCCATTCCGTTCATGAGCCACTTTACTGTTGGAAGAGGCCAACCGGTCACGTTGCAGAATATGACAGCCTTTCTTCCAGCAAAAAGCTGCACAGAATCCTCGGCCATACGTATTGATGGATTATCTGTTTAGTAGACAAATAAAATTTGCTATCAAATTTGTCCTCAAGGCAACAACTATTGTCGTTGTTGATGACGAGACTACTTTTTCTTGCGAGCATTGCCCATTGGAGACCCAGATCCTTTCCAACGCTTTGCCAAGAGAAATCTATCAGCACAACGACCTTTCAGTAATTGGGCCCTCCGCGGTCCAAATCAATATATATACAGTAACACTCGTATTAAGCAGTCACCCACGGAGAATGGCGTGTTGACCGCTTAATACAGGTTCCACAAAATGGGAGTATTTTGGAGAAACGCTGTGCCATAATTGGCCATTGTGACACAAAAACTCCCTCAAAAATACTACCATCATTGATTTCGGATGATAAGTATGGATTAAATTTTCCTTGAATTATTATTCTTAGTTTTAAATGAGTGGTCCAGCTTTAAGTGACCGTTCATTAAGGGTGAGGACCCTGTAAATGTGGAACACAACGGCTTAAAAGAAGTGAAGTTACAATGACTAAGAGGCAAAAATCCCGCGACGTTGAAAACCGACCGCCTAAAACAGTGTGACCGCTTCATACTGTGTTGCTTCATACACGTTACATTGTAATTCTCTGCTTGAAACGGAGTTTCTGCAATAAACTTGAATTTACTGTCTATAAGTTTCAATATGGAGGGAAAAATTGAAAACGGAGCCTTATCTCAACAATTTAGACTTTCCATCCACACTAAACCAGACCAATCAATGAACTTTCGACAAAGCTTCTGAACTGTCATAGCCACTTTTTCACGGAATAAGAACCTGACGCATATACCCCAAGGATGCAGTCAAGCATTTTGAATATCGGTGATGTGTGCGTATTTAAATCTAACAGGCATTTTGTGCTGGTTGCATGTGAATACCAAGCACGATTTTAGTTTATTGAGCTGGACGTCTCAACGACTGTTTTTAGCTCTCTTAGTTCTTTTTAGTTTTCCTTTAAATTTAACGCTTCTTGTTATGTGTGATGAACATTAGTAATAGTTGAATAGTCATACCAACAGCCGCGATAACCTTCCTGACCAAGTTGTTTTCAGACGGAACTTTGACAAGTTGATAAAAGTCTACCATAACAATCACGTCTTCTCCTCTCTCGGCGAATCGTGCCATATAGCGCTTTAAAGAAGAACCTATGCCGACAGCAAAAAGGCGAACTCCTTGCTCCTTTAGTTTCCGCGCGGCCTCAAATGGACTGTAAGGTGGCGTTTGCATCCCATCAGTAATTAAGATTGCAATCTTCGAAGCGTTCTTTCGAGAAAATGGAAACACCTCTTCTGACGTCACTCTTAAACCTTCGTGTGTCATTGTTCTTGAGAAAGGTAGAGGCGCAGCACCATATAATCTAGAACGAAACTCAGATAAACTGAATTTCTGGGAAAAGTGTTTTTCCACAGTGGCCCTTTCACCGAATAAAACTATCGCAGCATCAAGCTTGGTGCATTTCATAAGGATTTTCCGAGTAACTGCCTCGACAAATCTTTGGATGTCCTTATAGTAAGGTCCTACACTTCCACTTGCATCCAAAATGAATGCTACGTCAGGCCCACTCTCGCACTGGCTATCAACTGTAAAAATTTTTGAAAAGATAAATTAAACGGCTGAAAATGAAACATATGCATTACATGTAATCATAAAGTACGCTCAAAGTTTTCGTGGTTTTTCCTGACCCAGAAGGAAAGACGCAAAACAAAATACACTGCGTCTAAACTGGAAACTGTGAGTATATTTTGTCTTTGCGCTGAAAATGAAAACCAAAAACTAAACTTGGGTGTTCATCACAATTTTTTGTTTCAATCAGATTTTCTGGTAAATAATTCGCAATACCTGAAATTCTGATGTTTCTTAAAAAGAAGGCGGGGGGGGGAGGGGGTGTTCCTAAAGGGAAAACATAGAGAAAAAAAAAACGAATATAGAGCATTTTCAGCGAGCTCAAGCAAAGTAATTAGGTTGATATAACGTTTTGGGAGGGAAGTTTCCCTCGTGATCTTTCTCAGCCTAAGGAGAAACACAAGGAAATCATTAGTACTGTGATTCCTGCGTTTGATTATCCACAGAAATTTTGCTTTTCGTAAGTGATCATCAAATACCAAATAAACTGTGATAAAGGTACAGGTAGGTCCGACCATACACCCTCATACACAAATGTCTTTACATACCCGCTACTACAGCTTGTTGAGCTACACAAAGAAAAAGAAAATAAAAAGCGAGGGGGATTTGACAAAGTTCCATCGTTGTCACCTTTACTTGAAGCGATAAATTCGAATAGGATCTGAAAGAAAGAAAGAAAACACGCATCTCTGAAGAGATTCAAAAGCCTTCAATCTCGAGTATTTCATCCTGCAAAACTGAAGAAAGGAATAAAATTTTCATTAAGAAAGGAACTTGAATATCAGCACTTCATTCCCTTTATTTCCTTTAGAAAAAGGGTTGCATGTCGTGGTTGCTCAGGAAGATCAGTCTTTTTTCGTTGTCAAATATGCCCTTGTAGTTTTTCTTAAATTTCCAGTTTAGTGGGCTGAATTTGTCATTTTTTTCTGAGTTTTCTTGGACGATAAACGATTTTTAACCAGAGAAACGTTTCTTACGTTTCCATAATTCTGCCTCTTAATGAGAACAAAACAGGTATTACATGATTAATTATTAATTACATCTAAATTGCTGCGATATAGAATTTTTCAATATGCCTTTTTATCATTCTACCAGGGTTTTAAATCAGTTTTATTCCTGGAGGAACGATAGATTTATGATGGAATAACATCATTGTATGTTTTATTCTACGAAAGTAAAGTCGCAATTTATAAATGTAAACCTGACAATATCGGCGCTGACTGCAAATTGATGAAGATAATATATGTGAACTGCGGATAGGAGATGAATAAGAAAGCGATCTTTGCAGTAATGAACACTACTTGAGCAGTAGTAACAATAAGGCCTGAGAAAAAAGATAAAAAAAAAATTCGTTCTATTGCAGGCCTCTTTTTTTTTTTTTTTTTCTTTCTTTCTTAGGCCTCATTTTCACTACTGCTCAATTAGTGTTCATTACTGCGAAGATCGCTGTCATATTCACAATATCGGCGCTGTTTGAAAGCTGTCGGGGTCAAATTCTTAGGAAATGGTAAGGTGTTTACACTCTTTGCATATGCTTTTATTTAGTTTAGGTACTCGAGGGTACACTGTTTCCTCAGACAATAAGAACTTTTCCTTTCAATTACGGCTCTCTTTATCGAAAAAACGACCGGAAAATCAAGTTGCCCTTTTGCCGAATAAAGCTTGAGTTTGGTAGCTTAAAGTAAATAAAGAGATAATTGGAAACAAAAGTCTTTCCCCTTGCTTTCAGTCCTCTATTCAGTAACGTGAATAAATTCAATTCATTGTTGACGGATGGTATTTTTTTTTTTTTTTTTTTTTTTTCATTCACCCTTATCCCAAGAAATGGATTTCAGTTCGGTTTGGCAGGTTCCTGTTTTGGTGACCGTAATGCACAAACTCTACATATATAGTCAAATTTCTCACCGTGATGTTCAGTTGAACCAGGTCTATCCGATATTGTTAGGAATAGATCACAGACTGCGAGATTCCCACGATACTTCTATGCGTTTGAGGGCGTCGATTTTGCCCTCGCCTAAACTGAGATATATCATTCAGCACCTTACGTTCAATTATTGAAAAACACAGGAACACAAGTTCAATTAAAATAAGCAGGTGATATTTTATACTCTGTCAATTACCGAGTATGAAATATTTCTCGATTGGAGGATCTATAGTAGTACAATCGTCAACAAAAACAGTTTTGATCACCTATTGATATTAATTAAATGTCCATTACCTGCATTACCTATTCTGTGTTTTAAGCAAGGGAATATCGTATTTTGCATTTTTCAACAACTTCGTTTTTCTCATCTCATCTTTCTTGCTTGTCGAAACCGATAATAAATTGTAAAACGACATTGATCCCCATGATTTTTTTTTTCCATTTTTATTGTTTAGATCTTCATTTCCACTTTCAAAATAATAGTTGCTTGTTTTACCAGTTTTCTAACCAGTGTCCTTGATGTTAAAAATTAGAACCTGTTTTCAAGTTAAATAAGTGCTACGCTTTTTCAGCGAAAGATTAATCACGTGTTTGCGGTAAAGTTGAAAAAGTCATGCAATCCTAACAAAATTTAAGTCTTAACTTGTGACCAAGAAAACGCAAAGAAATGATACATTCATGCCAATGCATATGTGGCAAATTTTCTTTAAAATACATCCACGACGAAGATGAGTGATGTTACAACCACAGATGATCCATAGAGGGTGAAAGAAGAAATGGCGTCACATTGTCTACATCCATATCGAAAAGCAGATGTTTCAAAGCTGTTGTCAAGCTACATGTATATAGTTCAATCGGAATTTGAAATTTACTCTTAGGTAAACATTTAATTAAAAGAGAAAAGAAATAAGCAAAATAGGGCCACGACTTCTACAGAAATATTTAAATAGGTAGCTCGTTATACTGAAAAGTTCCGGCTAAAAACCTATCTTGATCTCGTACTATTGACAGCTCTACTTTCCCGAAAAGGTAAGATCAAAATTTATATAGATGGGCTTGCTTTAGTCTTATTCAGTTCAAAAATAAATATGAGCTCATGATCGCTTTCGTACACACAGCTTTTCTGAAAGCTTATCGAGAGCAAGAGTCTAGAAAATTCTACAAGATTTATTACATTTATCCTTTACAAATCAGCATTAATTAGCATGACGACCATGAAGCTTGGTATGAAAACAAGGGTGTTTTGTAACGTAGTCGTTTTAATTACCCTCTTGTATGGCTCTGAATCGTAGACTCCACATAGATCTCATATCAACCAATTAGATGTCTTTCACAACAGGTTGTCTCGGAAAATTTACGGTAACACTAATGAGGGCTGGATATCAAATGTGGTCCTTTTTCGACAAGTGTAAAATCCGAGGGACTAAGAGGTTCCTAAAGCAATCACAGCTCCGCTGGGCTGGTCATGTCATTCGAATGGGTGACGAGAGAAACCCTTATGTTGTCATGCACAGCCGGCTTGACAGTGGACATATGGAAATGTTGGGCGAATGAAAGCTCTTTGAAATACGGAATCAATCTAAATAGGGAGAGGTACACGATTGGAATTTGATGACCCGTTTTGTTTGAGAGACAGCATTTGTAATTACGAGCCAAGAAAAGCAAAGAGGTACGTTTCAGCACTTTAGAAAAAGCCCAACATTCTCACAAGTATTGTCATTGCTAAACTTTTAAAAGGAATAATTCATAATTTGGATCTTAAAGTGTAACATTTAAGGCGTTAGCTCTTTTCATACTAATTGTGATTGGGACAGTTATGGATTCAAATTAGTCCTACTCGTCTCCCAAGGGGATACAGCTCTATTCTTCTTGGAGCGTTCTATCACCCACCAAGTGCTAATGACTCTGCTTTTTTAGAGTATTTAGAGAGGTGTTGGTCATTTATCGAAACACGGTATTCCAACTGTGGCCTTTGTTTGTTTGCGGAATGTGCACGTAGAAATAATATGTAAGAAAGTCGCAGCGCGTCACTACTTTCTTAGGCAATTAAAGCGCGCGAAAGTCCCAGCTAATGACCTTCTAAGTTTCTACACCACTTGCATACGCCCAGTTGCAGAGTATGCATGTCCAGTCTTTCATACCGCTCTACCGCAGTATCTCCGATCAGTTAGAACGCCAATAAGCACTAATGATTTATCCTATAGACAGGCTTTAGAAGTTTTTAACATACCTACCTTGCATAATAGGAGAGAGGTGATTGGTAACTCAATGTTTCAAGAGATAAGTAATAACAACAATCACAAGCTTTATTCACTACTTCCGCCACCTTACCTTGGCACCTTGCGAACACGAAAAAATCGCAAGTTCCGAGTCCCGCGTTTTTTTTTATTGTAAGCCATTGCCGATAGCACGTCCTTGTACAACTCATATATATTAATTGATCTGATTTCGAATAATTTTAGTTGTATCTTAATTAATTTAGTGTTACATAATGATAAGCTTTATTACTGTTAACTTTCTTAACTTATCATTATATAATTTATAGTTAATAATTAAATTACGTTTTACATAAAGATTATCGTAATTCAGCCCTCGGGTTGCAAGGGTAATTTTAATAAAACTATATATCTATCTAATGATATACTAGATGGATAAGTATTCATCGTCTGCTTAATTGTCTCCGCATATAATTCATTTTTTTTTTCAAAGAGGGGGCCTAGGGAACTTTCCCTTAACGCGGAAGGCCTGAGATTTAAGTGTATTTGGATACATGGGTATTTTACAAAGCAATAACCTCAAAATTCTTATAGGAACGTTTATTCTATATATCACCAGAATGGGCGTTTGAGCAAAAGTGGTCGGGGAAGCAAAGCAGGCCGAGTTTCCTTTGAAACTTTCGTTTGTTTGACTCGAAATCGAAATGAAACTACTCAGGTATTTAGTCAAGTATGTCCAATTAGCTGTCTTGCGATCAATTTTGTTTGAAAATGTTGAGGCTTTATGGTCAAGGAAATTGAAACCTCATGATAACTCAAGCTAGCTGAACTGTTTAAGTAATTTTTTATTAATCAATTTGTGTCGCATTTTGAATGCTAAATTTCTAATTAACGTATTTAAGTTTCAGTATAGTGTCCAGTTAGTCAGGAAAACCAGGGGATTGTGCACTTATACTAACTTATTGATATCACAATCAAGGCTTTTCGGAAACCTTGTCGTCTAAGCATATATTGGTTGTTTTAGTTCCTTTTGGACAATAGTTTCTGACATTCTCAGACGGAAGTAAAAAGTTTATCATCCTCCTTCTTTTCAAAACCTGCTGTAGATACGAGTACTTAAGATTGCTTACAATATCATTTTGTTAAGTTAGGTTATAAAATGGACACATAAATCCAAGAACTATTTTGAAGGCATTATTCATGTTGTTAATTTTATAACTCGTCAACTCCATCCACGTCATCTTCATTCGTCTTGACATCTTGCACAAGATAATAGTCTTTCGACTCGTCAACTTTGTCAAAATCAAAGTATTCAACTTCCTGATGCATCAGTCTTTCCAGTCTTCCAACCAGCTCCTGGAAACTCGGCCTTTCATTTAAATCTTGTTTCCAACAGTCTAACATCAAAGAATAACTGAAAAGAGTAAAGAAATGAGGATTACTTGTTATAGGGGTCAACGACAAACGAAAGCCATTTAATCAAACTGACGACTTTCAGTTTCTTCTGATGAAGTATTGTGCATCTTGCACAAATAATATTTAACAATAAAACTCTTGCTATGTACAAGAAACCTCTTTTCTTATAAATAAAAAAGCTATCCAAAGGTTAAAAAATTTAGTCTTCTTAGTCAAAAACGCTATTATCATTCTTTGTACTGGAATTGCGAGAACTCGTCGGTGAAATGGGAAAAACACACAACGTTAATCAGCGAAGTTATTCTTCAATTGACAATGGTTGTATAGTTGCAAACAATCAAATAAAATGAAAAAAATCAAATGGTATCAGCTTTGCTCGTGAATAGGGGATATACTTCTGTTTTCATAGTCACTTATCTTATTAATGTTCGAAACTGAGTTTAATGCCGGCAAGCTACGTACACATGATCTGAACACAATTCAGGTTTCTCCATCCGGTAACCAGTCTGTATCAATCTCATGAGCTCTTTATTTGTCAAGAGTGGATAAGGTGAGCCTCCTTAAAAACAAGTTAAGTACAATTAAAAGAATTAGTATATACATGGTGAAACCTGGCTAAACGAATGACTTCTTATGCCGTAAGGGGGTTTTGAGTACACACAACGTTTATGACCATCTCCAACTCGGTGATACATTACTTTCTGAATTTAACATTGATGGGAGTGTAAACTAAAAAACCAAAGGAAATCGCAGTGATACTATAAGAAATATCAATGCAGGTATATAGGGATCATGGGGCCTACAGATGGATAAATGAAACTTGGATTTTTTTGACAGATAAAGTTATTTTGATATAATTACCAACAGTTGCAATTTCCCACAGAACAACTCCATACGACCAGCTGAAAAGAATTATAGTGCATTCTGTTGATACTGATACTGTATGCTAACTTTTATATTCGTACTCTTAATAGGACTGACAGGAATCCAATTTGGTCTGCAATCATATGAGTATGATTATAAACCGAATCGGACGACGCGAAGTATTGTTACCATTACAATTTCCAAAAAAAAAAAAACATTTATTTGGAGTGGGTTTACAATACTAATTATCTAAATTAAAAAAAAATTCCCCATTTTGGAAATTCCCAGTACTGTGGGGTATGTGGTTGTTGATATGGTTATTGTGATAAATTCTGTAACGGGTGGATTTAACTAAGTGGAATCAATATAATTGGCTTCTTAACTGTTCGATTACAGGTGTCCAATCACAGCCAACTGTCCGATTATAGGTGTCCAATCACAGCCAACTGTCCGATTATAGGTGTCCAATCAGAGCCAACTGTCCGATTATAGGTGTCCAATCACAGCCAACTGTCCGATTAAAACGCTTCAGAATAATGAGTGAAGGCAGCTAATGCACCAGTCACATTTGAGAAAATCTTAATGGTTGTGATTACCAATCCAGTCAATTACCACTTTTTGTTTCTCTCTTTGCATAGAAAATTATATTTGTTAATACCTTCCGTTTACATCAGCTTTTTACTGAAGTCTTGATCTATCTGTGCCACTTTTTGGGAATTTGTTAGGAATGATTTGGAGGGGAAATAAAGAAATATATATTCTTTAGGGTAAATATCAGTTACGTCTTCTCCTTTTGAGACAAATTCATGAGGTATTCGAAAATTATTTGAATGTGCTTTTTAAAAAATTATTACCACAGGGAAAATGGTAATTTTTAGTGAGTCCCTCAATTTTTTTAAATTCTGGTTGGATACTGCACCTGTTACGAAAAAAATGAAAAGTTACTAACACATCGCTTTTTGAAGTAAATATCTGTTCGTAAAGTGACTCAGGTGCCATCCATTTAACTGGCAGTTTCTTCTGCTTCTGCACCTCATATACCTCATGATACACTTCTCGCATCAAACCAAAGTCTGCAATCTTGAGCTTTTTACCGTGCCCGACAAGGACATTCCTTGCCGCAAGATCTCTATGAACGAGGCCTTTCTCGGAAAGATAAGTCTAAAGAATCAAAACAATTGAATAAAAGAACAATCACAATTTGCCATCAGGTGTATGAGGAAGGGAGTAATCTTCACCAAAAAGACTTCGATTTGAGACAATTTGAACAATCGGGATTGAATAGTATTAACTCTTGCAATGACCATACTTTGTAAAAACAGATTTTGCCTCTTTGTTAAATTATGGAAGACGCGGTGAACCAATGCTTATTGTGCTGGACTCAAGGTCTAGGGGCCGGTATCAAAACCTGGCTGGGTCATTCTAGCTCGCAACCTGGTAGGTTCACCACGTTTTTAGGCAAAATACTTTACTCGCAAAATGCCTCTTTCCATTCAGCTTTACCTATGAGTACCGGTAGATTGTGAGTTTAACCCGACGAAACGCGGGGAGCTAACAAACTCTTCCATGGGGGAGTAATAAAATTGTAGCCGCTTCATGCTACAGAACTGGGAAAGGCTGCAAGGTGTTGTGCGCTACTGCTCCATTGCAAATTAACTACTAAAGCAACTGAGAGCATATATACGTCACCGTTTGGTGTACAATGTCAAATTTTCAGATTGAAATTTTGCTTATTCTGAATCACCATCTCTTCTATTTTTATTGTTCTCATTTTTACGTGTGTTATTCCTTATCCTTGTCAGACAATTTTTTTAGGTTTTGCCCTATTTAAAAGCATTTCCATTTGCTGCAAAACATGAAATTAGACTTAAAATACCGGGAGATATTCATACTGGTTACTTAGCATCGCAATTCTTTCAACATTTTTATTGCAGACCAGTTTCCCTTACCATGCCTCCTGCTATCTGCCATGCAAATGACAGAAGATCAGCTGGAATGAAGGACTCGCAATCAGTACTACACTCTTCATCTGTCTTGCCGGGCCTTTCGTCTGCCTCCTCTCCCACAGTTGGCAAAACGACTAGTGGTATTTTACAATCATCGATTCCAGGTTGACCTGGGCCATCATTAGGATAGAAAGCTTCTGGATTGAGTTCTGGTATTTCTCCCTTCCAGTCACTCTCAGTGTCGGTCTGCATTTAACATAGCGAACGTTTGTAAGCTTCAGATCTAACTGTCACCTCGGTATGCCTTGCGTAAATCAAAGTAGATACTTATAAAACAATATTTTGAGGAAAAGTTAGCATGGGGAGATGCTGCTACAAATCCCACCGCGAGACCAAGTAAAAAAGAAACAAATCTTCTGTTGCAATCTAAACAAAAATCCAAATACTGTTTACCTGATCAATAAATGAGCCAAACAGAGCAGTCCTAGATCCTCCGTAAAGATTGTTTTCTTTTGCTGTGCTGTCAGCCAAGCCGTTGATCTAAGCAAGGGACAGTTGTCGACATGAAATGATACTGTCAATGGTCCCAGTGAAAAGCAACAGTAAGTTAATATACAACTCCCTTAACTATCTCAGTAGATTCTCGCTAAGATCTTTTTTACTTTTCGTGCTTTTCAATAATTGTATATGATTAATTGTAGATACCACCAGGTTATTGGGATTATTTCAATGTAGTTAAATTTTTCATGCGTAGGCTTTCCACTAAGATTTAAAATCCTAGGAGCATACTTACTTGTACATGATTAATGCGACCTTAAACAGGGTGACTTAACACTAAGCATGTGTCACCCAAATAATGTTTATGAAAATTACCTGAGTCCGCTTGCCTCGAAGCCAATGAAGCAAGTCACCGTGAGCCACGTACTCGATAACAAGGAAAAAAGGTTCGGTCGTGGTCCAACAGCCGAGGAAGCTTAAAACATTCCGATGTTTACCGACTTGCTTCATCAGGTCTATTTCATCCAGGAATTGCCTTCTCTGCTCTTCACCAGCGTTTTCTTTTTAACAAAGGATATATGCATTTATGATGATTTTGCAGCATGTAGTGCTATTTCCGGTCAGCACTTCGAAATTTTTATTATTAAAAGGCATTCTGGAAACCAAAAACCGATGCCGGAGTTTCCCTGATTTTGCTTTAAAAATTCATTGAAAAGGAAAAAAATTTGGACAGAGCTTAGAAACAAATGCCACTGTCCGCTGGAATCGAAGTAATTATTAGCAAATTAATAAAACTGCACCTCTGCTTCTGGCTATAATATCACGGAAATGTTTTGGCCGAAAAAAATTCTTTACTGGACTCGAGTTTAGGAGAGCACGACATAGACATCCGAGAGAAAAAGCTTCCGATAACTAGCGCGACAAAAAGAAAACTATTTAGACCACATCAAAGGACTAACGTTATTTCATGATATCCTTGACACTCCTGCCATTTTTTGTTGCTGAATAATAATAGATGATGATAAGGATAAAATGCTGATGATGACATCGTAGAGGATCATATTCATACTCACCATGCAGTTCTTTTACGGCCACAATCATTTCTCTCTTAGCCTTTCCAATAAAGTCATCACCGTTTTTTAAGTAATCCAATCCGTTCTTGAGCGTTGCCTTATGAACCTTCCCAAATGCTCCCTCACCTAGGTCCTCGACAAATTCTGTTCTTAATGGATGGATTTCGCACTGCTCCAAGACATGAACATCTTTGACCGTCCTTGATCAAAATAAAATGAGTTTTTTCAGTTTAGTTGCACCATAATCCTGAGTCTAAAAACATTTGCTTCAACCTCAATCATAAGGAAAAGCTGGTTTTGTGATATTCATCATGGGAAAAAGTGATTATACCAACGATGGCAATCATGATAATAATAGTTATGATGATAATGATGATAATTAAAATAGTAATGAAAACGATGACAAAACGTGTATTAAAAGGTATCGCCCAACAGACTCATGTTAGGAGTTCGAACTAACGTCAAATACTGTTCTCCTGGTTGGAGAAATAACGACGGGTGATAAAAATGAACAAGCTTTTTGGTCAGGAGGGATAAACTAAATATTTAACCTTGATTTACAGTAAAGTATGCGGCCAGAAATACCTTTTGTCTTGTTTTGAAGACCTCTTCCTGTAATAGTACCACACTCTTATGGTCAGTATAAGGGCAACCAAAACAACAACACCAGCAACAATCGGTGTGATTAGGCTCACCAGTTCTAAAGGCGGAGAATCTGTAAGAAAAGGACATCACTGTGATTGCAGCCTGCGAAAATTTCGTAAACGTTTTGCTTTCTATACAGCTTTAAAACCAGTTCACGAGGTGCTTCTCACTCAGCAGTTAACTAATTTAACTTGTTCTTCTCTACGCGAAAAATGTTTTCTTACTTTAATGTTTGAAATTTTTTGTGGACCTGATCTCAACTGTGCTGGTTTGAAACTTTTTCGTAGAGCTGAACTCAACTTTGCTGGCTTGAAACTTTTTGTAGAGCTGATCTCGACCGTGCTGTCTAAGGCAAGATTTTCGGTTGGTGAAAAATTTCTGCTGTCAGGAGAGTCAAAGTTATTCAGCAAAGCGATTGCACAAAAAACTTAAAAAAACTGCCAATGTAAGAGCTTGTAATTTCCACTTTCAATACTCATGCTCTTGATTGCAAAAACTCATCTTTACCAAATATTATTTTAGACGAAAGGAGGCCATGAGTTTCAATTTCAATAAAATTGGTTAATTACTTTAAAATTGATGAGTTTTCAATACCTCTTAAATAGGATTCTCTACCTCCCTGCAGAGAGGTTAAGCCGTCTGTTGTTGCCGACTGCAAGGAAGACAGTTCTCCACTTCCTAGTTCATTCCAGGCCCTGGCCTGAAACTCATACGTCGTGGAGCAATTTAGTATAAGTTCCGTTTGCTTGGCTCCTTCATCTGTTACATTTACATTTATCCAAGTGCCATCATCATTTAGTCCTTTTTTCCTGTAGCTGATCGTGTAAAAGAGTATCGGGCAGCCAGTGGATTTTGGTGAGGTCCACTCTAGTGTAATATTACATCCTGATACTTTCCGGTCAAATATTTCAGGTGAACCAGGACGGTCTATCAATTGAATGAAGCAGAGCAAAGGTATAAAAAAACATAACGTTAGTTTCCTATAAACGACTGTTGCGTTACCGTTTCGAGTTACTATAGACTTAAGATGTATACTGAATGATCACGACGAAAATCAAACCTAGGTTGGAAGACCTTCCGATGGGCGAAAGAAAAGAGGTTTGGATTGCTCTCATCCTTTCTTGCCTTCAAGGGATAGCAAAAAGAACAAAACAAAACAAAAAAACAAAACAAAAAACGAAAAAACAAAAATGCCTGATAAAGTTTACTGCTTTTGAAGGAATTGTACCTGCTCGATTTGTGAAGATCTCTACAATGTCGGATGGAAGACTGTATCCAAGTCTATTTTCTGCAATTACTCTCACTATATACCTAGTATGAGTCTCCAGATGTGCAAACAGACATGTATTAGACTTAGCGATGGCATAGGATGTGCAATTAATCCAATCTTCTATGGGACCAGCCCTTGTTATCTGCGCTAAGTAGCCGATTACTGGATCTCCTAATGCCCCAGGGATTGGTGGACTCCACGTTACGTTGATGGAGTTACACTCTTCCAAAATTAGAGGATGTAAGGTTGGCTGATATGGAACATCTGAAGGAAGAAATAAGCTTTTCCACTTCAATTCATAGAATTGCTGTCCTTAATCTAATTAACCACGCCTAAGAGGTGCGTTGAGTAAACAAGAAGGACTTCAAAGGAAACCTCGAACTCGTCATTAATGGATACCAACCGCAACCTGAACCAAAATATATAGTGGGTTTCAACGTGACTACCATCTATTTTTTCATTCGCAGCTATCTAGTTTAAATCTATTTTTACCTTTACTGCTAAAATTTAGCTATCGTATAAGCTATGTATTGATATTGTCATTAACCTGCTAATAGCATTAATGGCGTGGCGTATTAAATTGAATGAGTAACATACAGGGCTGAAACCCAGGGGATCATAATCTAACAATGGTATTCAATAAAATTACACGTTTACTTCACCTTGTGCTGTTCTCACTTTCCAGGCTGCGCTATTTTCGCTTCGTCCCAGCGTGTTCCAAGCCGCAATGATGAATTCGTATTGTTTGCTGTATTGAAGCTGCAGTTGATAGCTGGTAACCCCCGAGATGTTTATTTGGCTCCAGCTCTTTACAAGAGGTTGTACTACTCTGAAGTGAACGGAGTACATGAAAATATAGCAATTGTTATCTTCGGGGGCGCTCCAAGTTATAGTTACATTCCTTCCAGGAACTATTGAACCTTTGGATTCAATCTCCGGAGGGTCAGGTCGACCTATAAGCAATCAGAAAATTACTTCAAAAGAATCCTTGCATCCTAACTATAATTTTGTAGCTTACGGTTTTAAAAGAAAATTGCAAAATATTCTAACTTTTGACAATTTTATAATCTCTTGTTTTTGATCAAAGTCATGGCGGTTGATTAAAATTTTGTATGATGTATTATCTATCTATTCATGTGCATGTACGTATGTGTGTTTGTAGGACTGTATTTATGTGTCTATTTATCTATCTATCTATTGATCTATCTATTTATCTTTCTGTCTATCTTTCTATCTGTCTCTCTATTTATCTATCTATCTATCTATCTATTGATCTATCTATCTATCTATCTATCTATCTATTTATCTTTCTATCTATCTTTCTATCTGTCTCTCTATTTATTTATCTAACAATCTATCTATCTGTCTATCCGTCAAATTCATAATCTCTTGTTTTTGATCAAAGGCATGGTGGTTGATTAAAGTTTTGTATCATGTATAGATCGTTTTCTGTCTAGTGATCTCATTTTAATTGGCCGCCATATTGGTGCACATACTTGCCTGTAAACATATGACCACGAATATAAGAGATCCTCGCAGCTATAAACACAACTTAACTAGTAGTTGAAATAAGACCTAGAAATATTCAGGCCCGTACGGGATTTGAACCCATAACCTCTGCGATACCATTGCAGCGCTCTACCAACTGAGCTAACAAGCCAACTGGTAGTTTACTAGTTCAGTAGTGTTGATAGCTGCGAGGATCTCTTATATTCGTTTCTTCACCGCAGTGCACATATGTGATTTTCATATATCTACAATCATTATTCATCACTTAGATGGTTTATTAGGACCCGACTTAATGACCAGCTCCCAGTTGGCTTGTTAGCTCAGTAGAGCGCTGCAGCAGTATCGCAGAGGTCATGAGTTCAAATACCGTACGGGCCTGAATTTTTTTCAGGTCTTATTTCAACTTATCTTCAACTACTATATGAATGTACGTATGTTTGTAGGAATGTATTTATCTATCTATCTTTTTATCTATCTATCTGTCTATCTATCTTTTTATCTATATATCTATCTGTCTATCTAACTATCTTTTTTCATCTATCTATCTATCTATCCATCTATCTATCTATCTATCTACATTTCTATCTATCTATCTATATATCTATGTATCTTTTTATCTATCTATCTATCTATCTAACTATCTTTTTTCATCCATCCATCTATCTATCTATCAATCTATCCATCTATCCATCTTTCCATCTATCTATCTGTCTATCTATCTATCTATATGTCTATCTATCTATCTATATGTCTATCTATCGATCTATATGTCTATCTATCTATCTAAATGTCTATCTATCTACCTATCTATCTATCCATCTATCTATCTGTCTATCTATCTATCTCTCTGCCTATCTATCTTTCTATTTCTTTATCTATTAATTTATCTCTCTATTTACTTATGTACCTTTACATTTATCTATTTATGTACCTTTCTATTTATCTATCTATCTATCTATCTATCTATCTATCTATATATCTACCTATCTGACTATCTATCTTTCAATCTACTTGTCTATCGATATATCTGTCTATCTATCGATCTGTCTATCTTTCTATCTATCCATCTATCTATTTATTATCTACCTTTCCATCTATCTATATATCTATCTATCTATCTTCTGTCCATCTATCTATCTGTCTTTCTATGTATTTATTTTATCTATCAATCTATATATCTATCCGTCTATCTATCTATCTATCTATCTATCTATTTGCCTATTTATGTATGTATGTATGTATGTATGCATGTATGCATGCATGCATGCATGCATGCATGCATGCATGTATGTATGTATGTATGTATGTATGTATGTATGTATGTATGTATGTATGTATGTATTTATGTATGTATGTATGTATGTATGTATGTATCTATCTAACTATCTGTCTATCTATATGTCCATCTATTCATCCATCCATTCATCCATTCGTCTTTCTGTCCATCCGGCCATTACATAAACGAACAAGACAGTTAGGTTTTTACAGTTTTTGTCATATGCCAAGAGAGAAATTATCACCTACCGAAACTAATGGGAGCTGTATCGTTCGTCCACTCACTAAATCCCTTCTTATTAGCAGCTCTGAGGCGAACATCGATGCGGGTGTCATTCTTATCGATTAGCAAACCATGGAATGAACATGTGTTATTCGGCAGGAAGTTACTACAGTTACGCCAGTTACCACCTTGCTTTCTCATCTGAACTTGGAAATCCGACACTGAACCTCCGCCAGAATCAAGAGACGATGGCCCCCAACTTACCTCCACTTCCCCGCATTCCTTTGGTTCAACTTTTGTAATCGATGGTTTAAAAGGTACTCCTATAAACGTATTTAAGAAACGTTAATTTTTTTGCCTTCGTCGAACTCTCATGATATCATTTTCAAAGGGATAGTAAAATCAGTTATTAACGGCACTTTTAAGTAGAACGGTGAGTTTGCTGTATGGCTCGCAAGTATGGCTTCGGATTGAAAAGTCCGTTTTAAAGGGCGTGCTTTGTATTCTTGGAATAAGCCAATTTAATCTTGCCTCTCACCAAGCAGAAATATTAAAAAGTGTACCAGAAAATCTGCTGAAACGATGGGAGTAACCTGGGAGAGTAAAATGATATTTCGTACTGCGTTAGAGATCCGTAAAAGCTCTGGTGATACTTATGGTTCTTGGATATCATTATCTTAAGAACAAAACACATTAAAAAAAACAACAACAACACAGAATCGTTACCACGTTCCGTTCGTATGGACTCCAGAGACTTTTCACTGTAATGGTTATGTCCCTGTTGATTCCAGGCAATAACCATGATTTCGTAATTTTTGCTGCAATTTAACCAGAGACGATACCCGCTCACGTTTGACCTTTTCAAGTTGATCATATTCCACCCACTCCTTTTGTCTCTGTAGTGAATTGTATATCGTGTTATCGGGCAGCCGTTGGAGAAGGAAGCATTCCACGAAAGTTTAGCACTGCATCCAAAGGGAACCGCGTTTACAAGAAACGGACCTGGAACACCTGGAATGCAAAAACCACAGTTACTGCATTATCATCATTTTCATTGCTAATGATAATTTTCTCGTATTTTAACTGATCTTACTACTATCTTTGCAGTATGATAACTTTACATTCTTCACTCCAAATGTGGACCAATCTCGTTTCTTGTGGATTTATTTAAACTAAAATAAGCCACCAACCGAAAGAATAGACTTTCCACTCACCATTACCATTTGTATATCCAAGTGAAAAAATTAAATGTGATTCCCTAGCTTACCTGATGTAGTTATCAAAACTTCTTTGGCCCAATGACTAGCTGATGATGAGCCATCGGAATATTTAGCGCGGATATTGAATTCATAGACTGTGTTTATCTGAAGTCCGATAAATGTGTGTGACATTACTTCCCTTGGGACACTATAGTTCCATCTCGACTTTCCGCTTGCTGATCTAAGTGTAAGTTCATAACCAAAGATAGAATTGACTCCAGGCCCTGTTATGGGTGGAGCACTCCACTCAACTGTTATTGCACTTCCACAGTCGGTTGATTTCGAACTCAGAATTTTTGGAGGCGATAGTGTTATAAATTCCACTGAAGAATAAATTATACAAAACATTTTTGGTGGCTGATTGGCTAAAATAATATGGGTATGGTTAAACGTACTAACAAGTTAGCGGATGGATGGATTGAGTGATGGATGAAAAAGGGGAGAAAAGATTAAAAATCAATATCTGACCTTATTTATTACCTTTACAAACAAGATATCTCAGGAACATTTGTACTGTCCTTCAGAAAAGCTTTTTTGAGAAAAACTTGATCTTAAGATATTGCTTCGGATGCTATAGATTTCCCTATAGGTTTAGTCATAAAAGAGATATGGAGGAACTTTTAAAAATGTGGGGAAATAATTCAGAACTCCAAAATAGATTTGAATATGAACGAAATTTCAAAACATCTAACGAAGTTTCAGAAGATCTTTAGTCGGTGCCACACCGTTTCATGCAAGAACACTCACCCATGGAAATGTCTTTTGCCGCAAGCGAGATATTAGACAGCAGCAGTACACAAACGTATTGACCCAAATCTTCTTTAGAAGTGTTTGTAATACGAAGGATTGTAGAGCCTTTCGAGTGGCGGCAAAAGTTGGGGGAAAGAATGAAATCAGACATGCTGTACTTATCACTTTTTCTTATGACACGACCTTGAAACCTCCATTGCCAGTGGTAGAATTGCAATTTGTTATAATCCAGGCCGTTCGCATGACATTTTAATGTGACATTTGACAAGCCTAATTTAATTTGATGATATCTTGTAGTAAGCTCTGGAAGAGTTGGTGGACCTACACGAGAGAAAAAGTTATGTTTACAACAAAAAATAATATCATTGGTTTCTGCTTATAACTGGATTTCTATTTAGACAGTAATGGCAGCAGTTTTTGAAACCAGCAACGCTAATAACAATAAACAAGCGATGATAATAAGGATAACAATAGTAATAGATAGAAAAAGGGCCATAATGGCGATTAAAATAATGAATAATTAATAATGGTAATTTTGGTACTCAGGGCGTGCAAATGCGTGTTCATTTTTCTTTATCAGAAGGCAAACAATTCGTGTACTATATCGCGCGCTGGATATGAGTTGGCTATAACCAAGCTCGTTTCCAATAGGCGCAAATGGAATAATTTTTCAATTAAATTTAATTAAATCCTGAACATTTTCATTTTTGGAGCCTTGTTTCAGCTCCCTAACATTTGGCGCAAAGCATGTTCATATAAGGTGACTCTAAGAACACTAAATATGCACTAAACGGTTGTGAAATTCATATATTTAAAATATAATTGTAATCGTAATTGAAAACTAAACAAACACAGTTATTTGTCACTTTACCTAACTTCATTAGAACTAAATAAACAAATTTATTTATCATTCATTCATTTATTTCATTTATCTATTAGATAAGTGAATGAAGTGAGAAGCGACGGGAAAAAATAAATTGATAGATAAAGCTCCCTCACATGTGACTGATACTTGAATATTACGCCTCCTTGTGAAAAACTTGTTCTTGGCTTCACAGGTAAAGTACGCCGCGTGAAGCTTGTCCAATTCAGAAAAGTGCAATGATGAATTAATATTTTCTGCCCGTTTTTCTTCCTGAAGGGAGACTGAAAGGTTAACATCCCCATCTCTGACTTCCATGCCATTCATGAACCACTTGACTTTTGGGAGAGGCCAACCAGTCACGTTGCAAGATATGACAGCATTTCTTCCAGCGAAAAAAGATACAGAACCCTTTGCCATTCGAATTGATGGATTGTCTGTTCAAGAGAAAAGCGAAAATCGCCTTTAAATTTGTCCTGAAGGGAACAGTTATAGTCGTTATTGATTTTTGAAAACGACCTATTCTCGAAGGCGTTGCCTCATAGAGACTGAGATCCTTTTCAACGCTATGCTGGGAAAAGTTTAACTTCCTAACTTTACTTCAGCAATTTGTAGATAAATTATCCATTTAAAACTGAGCTTACCCAACAACTTTGAATATACTGGCTGTGCGTTTTAATGTGTGAGGAAGAAAAAAAAAACTCAAACAGAGCTTTGTCTCAACAATTTAGACTTTTCGTCCACAATGAACCAGACCAGGAACTAAGCTTTCGACGTACCTGCTGTGGTCACTGCTCCTTGTAGTTTTCCACGGGATAAGAACCTTACGCACGCATGCCCAAAGGATGCAGTGAAGCATTTCGAACGCCGGCAAGGAGTACATTTTCCATTGGGAACAGAAATTTTCACTAAATTTTTAAGGGAACGCACCTGGATTGAGCCTCAACTGTTTTCTGCTGATTGGATGTGTATAGGAAGCGCTATTTTACTCTAATGGACTAGACTTCTCAATGAACTATTCTCTGCACCCCTAGCTCTCTTTAGTTTGGACGATTATTACTGAATGTGAAGTACACTACTTAATAATCTCTGTCGCTTAATTTACACCAATAGTCTTACCAACAGCCGCGATAATCTTGCTCACCATGGTATCAACATAGTCAAAAATGTAATGGAACATTTCCAAATAAATCACGTCTCCTCTTCTCTCTGTAATTCGTTGAAGCTCCCCATGGCGCCGTGCATAAAAAGCCACGTCGACACCAAAAAGGCGAACACCTGTTTCTATTAATTCCCGCGCGGCTTCATCTGGAGTATAAGGTGGCGTATTCTCCCCATGAGTAATCAAAATTGCAATTTTCGAAACGTTCTTCCGAGAAAATGGAAACACTCTCTCTGAAGTCACTCTTAAACCTTTGTATGTCATTGTTCTGTCGCCTTGTAAAGGCGTAAGAAGATCCAATGCTTTGGAAAATTCAGGTAAACTGAATATTTTGGAAAAGTTTTTTACTACAGTGGCTTCTTCGCCGAATGACACTATCGCAGTATTAAGTTTTGGACATAAATTAAAGATCTGGCCAGTGACCGCTTTGACAAAGTATCGTACTATCCACAAGTCAATGTCGTTCACAATTCCACTTACATCCAAAATTAAAGCTATGTCAGGCCCATTCTCGCACTGGCTATCAACTGTAAAAAATTTTAAAAAGATGATTAAAGGACTGAAAATGAATCCTATGCAAGATAAATTCGCATAAATTTCGAATGGGTTTTCCCGAAGCAAAGGGCAGAAGGACAGACGGAATAAAAAAGAAACTGTTTTCAAAGCTCGAAGATAGTTTGATCGAAATTGTAATTACTTTTTCTTTTTGATGAAGATGACAACCAAAACCAAAGTAAGGGCGTTTATCGAAATTTTTTGTTTCAATCAGATTTTCTAATAAATAATCTGCCATAACTGAGGTTCTGGTATTTCTGAGAAAGAGGGTGGGAGAGGGCGGGTTTGGCAACGTACCTGAAAAAAGAATAAAGAGGGAAACGTTTGCACTTAGTTTCGATGATTTGCCTCTCGTTAGGGAAAAATAACTCGAGGATCAATTACAAAGAAAATCACGATATATTAAAGGCACAGTTTTGGTCTCACGATAACACAGATAAAGAGCACACGTCCTTTATTCAAAATTTTTTTACATACGCGTCACTGCAGGTTTTTGAGCTACCAAAACACAATAAAAAGCGATGAGGAGTCGACAATATTCCATCGTTATCCCCTTTACTTGAAGGAATACAATCAAGAAAGATCTGAAAGAAAGAAAATAGACATAGTTTTCTTAAGAGATATACGAACCTTAAACCCTGAAAATAGAAGCTTCAATCTTATTCAAATATTTCTTCACTGAAAAACTGAAGGAAGGAATCAAATTTTCATTAAGAAAGAACTCTTGAATATCAACAATATATTCCTTTTATTTTATATGGAAAACCCGTCGCATTTCTTGGTTGCTCAGGACGTTATGATTCTTTTCTTTTTGACAAAACATCACAGTTTACTTGGTTAAATTTGCTTTTGTTCTCTGAGTTTTTAAAGTGATTCATGATTTGAAAAGGAAGAACGTTTTTGAAGTTTTTGGTGTGCCAGTTTAGGAGAGCAAATTAAGAGAGTGTCTCTGTAAGAGCGGTCCGGTCGATTTTGCTTGAGACACGGATTTCGCTCGTTTCTCGTGTGTTGTAAGACATTCATGTACCTATACTAAAACCACAATTAGTTTGATCGGATCTCTTTATTTTTCAGAGTTTTACGGAAATTAAATTTCACTAGAGCGAAGGCTTGTTGTGACACTTTTCAAGACTTTAATTTCATACAACTTTAGAGGACAATTTACAAAAAACTACGGAACTCAGCAAAAAACAAATACCACAGCCATGTATATTAACTCTATCTTATCTATCGGGGCGACTTTCGTAAACATCACGTGTCAATCAAGGAAACAGGAAGACTTGAATGACACCTTATCGGTTCGCCTAAATCAAACACGCCAAAACCGATCAAATTCAAGGTAAATTTTTGAAAAAGTGAGGCGTTCTTAACTGATCCAACTAACATAGCTAGGAAGTAGGTGCCATAGAAAAGATAACTAAAACAAAAAACTTTGCGGCCCGACCTTTACGGGAACTTTATAGCTCCGTGAACTTACCTAATTTTCGGCAATCTCCAAGTTTGGCCGCCATTTTGAGGGACTTGTCAACATGAAGCGTAACCGATATAAATCAAGCAGGTTAATCTTAAACCGTCAGAAATATATAAGAAAGCAATTCAAATGAACTTTTCTTTCAATTCAAGCGGCAAAATTTGAAATTGTTTGTTAAACTTACCATCCCCATGCGACCATTTATTCCAAAAATACAAACACTACAACTTTCTGAATTCCCCTCGTCGATTCCACCGCAAGAAATAACCTGTGCCACCCAAGCTTCGACTCGAATGTGAAGTACGAATCAAATAACATAACTGCTTCATCTTCGCGGCAATATCACGCTGGTATTTTGATTTTCCGATCGACAAGAACGGCGATCAAGAATCGATCGGTTTGTTTACCTCGTAAACGTGACCGCTGACCAGCTGCTGAGTGAAAGCAGTACGGTTCAGTGGCGAGGAGCGGGGTGAGGGGTGGATGCGGGCAGATTATCAGAAGGTTTTTGGGAACATTCGATAAACATTAGGATTCTCAGTCTTAATGCGAAGGCATACTTCGTGTTGCAGACAACTTTTGTTTTACTTAGTATTCTTTTTTATTTCAAATGCACTTCGTTCCAAATAGGACTAGCATCAGTTCATAGATTTAGAAGCAAATCTTTACCATGTAAATAAATGTGTTTAGATAATCGAGATAACCATTGAACCTCTTGTATCGCACCGGAAATAACGTGTCTTGTCTTTGCCCAACTGTGAGAGCGTGGAGCGGCGAGGACGCGAGATACGAGTCTCGCGTCTCGCGGATTCACCATGCTCGCAGGATACGCGTGACCTCACTATCTTTAAGAAAAATAAGAGACTACTCGAAGTCTGTATTCCGTTCAACCATTTTATAAGAGTGACGCGAGTCTTTCAATTGAATGAGAAAGTCACAAACCCATTCTTTACCTCACGAGCGTAACCACTGACCACTCACGAATTACAGTAGGCTTCTCCTTTGACGCGGAAATTGAAATCGTACCGAATATACAAAGTTATAATGAGTTCCTTTAGATCTCCCGAACTTGTATCGCTTTGGAAATAATTACAAGTACAGGAAGAAGTCGTTCACAAGCGAGACAGGACTGTTTTTTGAATAGCAAAGATGGAAAAAACTTTGGTTCATCGTGTGGCTTAAGTGGTTTGGTACGACTGTCTGAATGCAATGACGAAGTAAAACATCATTTGATAAGCTGCCACCTGTCTAAAGAGGTTTTTAAGTGAAAATGAGCTAATCTTGGCAAGGATTGGCCTATTTCACCTCGCTCAGGAGGATAAACAAAAAAATGTGGATTTGCTATAGGCATCGCTACACTCTGGGGAAGTTTTGGAGAAGTGCAAAGGTAACACGTCAGTATCCTGATCATGATGGTGTCAGGAAGCGTATCCAAGGCAGAGATGTAATTACCTTGCATATGTCTCAGGACGTTCAAAAGCTGTTTGGAGTTATTATTCCAGTTGAATCAGGTGGTCTTCAGTAACATTTTCTGTTATCTATTTTTGTCACGTGACATATCTGCTCGAAAAGAGAAGAAATTCTTTATTAGATGAAGGGTACTTAAGTACACATCACGTTGAAAAAAAATAGATCTATGTGTAAGTGCTTTTCATCACAGATGGAAATATGTACAAAGTTGTTCGGTTGATAATCAATAATGTTTTTGTAGAAGATCAAATCACCTGACAACGCAATCTACTTACTCATGCATACGGTTCACAATTATTTGCGGTCAGTTTTCCTCAGTTTGTATGATTCTCATTAACCGATATGATTAAATTTGCAGACTAAAACACCCCTTATTTGATTAAGAATAACAAAAGTAAACAGTGCATGTCGGTTTTTAATTCCTGATGGATGCTACTGGGCTTTACTTTAACTGAGAAATTTGCAATCACTTTCCTCAGCTCACTGTGTCCCATGCCGTAAGAAGCACAAGAAAAAAGTTGATGATAGTGAGTCTTGGCTGAGACAAGAAGAATCAGAGAAGAATCTACGGTCCCCAGAAACGCCACTTTTAAACACGAGACAACTAAGGTAAATTAAATGAATTGTTATTTGTTTTATTTAAAACTATCGTTCAGATTACAAGATACGCGAAAAACTCTCCCCACCGATTTTTTCCTACATTCTGTTAATCAAAAGTTTCAATAATTATAAAGGCTTTCTTGTTGATCGTCTTAATAGTAACAGTTTCCAGGATCCAAGGGGAGCAAAAGAGAGAACAATTTTCTGTGTAGCTAGGTAAGGCGACATGCCGGCTTTATACTTCTTCCGGCGTGATAACGATAATGATGACAACAATGGGCAAAAAGCACCGTCCGCTAATGATGACGATTATCATAGTTATTAACAATTCTCAGTTATAGTCCTGAAAAAAATCTCAAGGGGTCCTTTGAACCATCCTCTTAATCTCGCCAGAAGTCAAAGTTGCCTAAACTCATTCTAAGGTTCGTGCGATTTTACGACGAATTTTCAATTCCGGTGTGTTGCACGCGCGACTTTTTATAGAAAAAACCTGCACGCGCCATAACTTAAAAGAACGTGTCAGCGGAATGAATCAAATCTCTACCACTTTGCATACATTCTTGGGAACAGAAAAAATTACTTAGAGCAAATATTCTAAGTATAGAGTTCATTCCGTGCAATGGGACATAAATAAAAGGTTCTGGTGGAAAAGACATTTTATTTTATACCGCTGATGACAAGCAAAAAGGTTATATGGGTGCCCCGGTTAAAAATATATTGATAACTCTATTAATTAATACCAGTTCTAATTTAAAGGAGAAAGTTATGAGAATAAAATAAAAATTGTCTGTACCTCGAAGCATGCCTTCACTGTTTAGACTGATAGTCCTAAAGCTTTTTGAGCATGCATTCGAATATCTTATGACGATAAGCCCGCCAACCACCCCACCCCGCGCTATACTATTTTCACCTAGCGGCTGGTCAGAGGTCACGTTTACGAGGTAAACAAACCGATCTATTCCTGATCACCGTTCTTGACGATCAGAAAATCAAAATACCAGCGTGATATTGCCGCGAAGATGAAGCAGTTATGTTACTTGATTCGTACTTCATATTCGAGTCGAAGCTTGGGTGGCACAGGTTATTTCTTGCGGTGGAATCGACGAGGGGAATTCGAACACTAGTTGTAATGTTTGAATTGTTGAAAGAAATGGTCGCATGAGGATTGTAAATTTAACGAACAATTTCAAATTTTGCCGCTTGAATTGAAAGAAAAATTCATTTGAATTGCTTTCGTATGTATTTCTGACGGTTTTAGATTTACCTGCTTGATTTATATCGGTTACGCTTCATGTTGACAAGTCCCTCAAAATGGCGGCCAAACTTGAAGATTGCCGAAAATTAGGTAAGTTCACGGAGTTATAAAGTTCTCGTAGAGGTCGGGCCGCAAAGTTTTTTTCTGTAGTTATCTTTTCTATGGCACCTACTTCCTAGCTATGTTAGTTGGATCAGTTTAGAACGCCTCACTTTTTCAAAAATTTACCTTGAATTTGATCGGTTTTGGCGTGTTTGATTTAGGCGAACCGATAAGGTGTCATTCAAGTCTTCCTGTTTCCTTGATTGACACGTGATGTTTACGAAAGTCGCCTCGATAGATAAGATAGAGTTAATATACATGGCTGTGGTATTTGTTTTTTGCTGAGTTCCGTAGTTTTTTGTAAATTGTCCTCTAAAGTTGTATGAAATTAAAGTCTTGAAAAGTGTCACAACAAGCCTTCGCTAGAGTGAAATTTAATTTCCGTAAAACTCTGAAAAATAAAGAGATCCGATCAAACTGATTGTGGTTTTAGCATAGGTACATGAATGTCTTACAACACACGAGAAACGAGCGAAATCCGTGTCTCAAGCAAAATCGACCGGACCGCTCTTACAGAGACACTCTCTTAAGTAAGTTCGCAATTAAATATTAAACACGCTGAAATTGCCACAAGCTTGAATTCCTCGATATAAAGTTTTATAATTCCGTCAAGGTTTTGGGTCAGTTTTATTCCTTGAGGAACGATAGATTTACAAAGCAAAACAGTTTTTCACAATAATTTCTCTAATTTAATAGCACGTTTTATTCGACGGAAGCAAAGCCGTAATTTTCAATGAAACCTGAAAGTATCGGTGCTGTTCAAAAACTGCAGTCAAATGCTAAGGTAATGCTCAACGTGCAGATGTTGGAAACTCCTTGTGTATGCTTGTATTTTGGTTAAGTACATGGTTCCATAGAGAATAAAGAGGTTTTCCTTTACTTTAAGTTTCTGCTTTTGATCATGCGAAAATCTAAAAAGGTGACCAGGAAACCTAAATTTATCTTTTGATTTCGATTAAAGGTAAGCAAAGAAATTACTG